TAGAGGAGGAAATCTATGTGGAACAACCTAAAGGGTTTATAGTTCCAGGAAAAGAAAAGAAGGTGTGCAAACTTGTAAAATCCTTATATGGATTAAAACAAGCACCTAAACAATGGCATGAAAAATTTGACAAAGTGATGTTGTCAAATGGTTTTAAAATTAATGAGTGTGATAAATGTATGTATGTGAAAAACACTCAAAATGGATATGTCATTGTGTGCCTATATGTGGATGATATGCTAATAATGGGTAGTAATGATGTTATAATCAAAACTACTAAAAAGATGTTGACCAAAAATTTTGATATGAAAGATTTAGGCATAGCTGATGTCATACTAGGAATTAAGATTTCTAGAACATCAGATGGTCTAGTATTATCTCAATCTCACTATATTGAGAAAATATTAGAAAAGTTTAATAAAGAGGATAGTAGTCTTGTAAAGACTCCTGTTGATGTAAATCTTCATTTATCGAAAAATACTGGTCCTAGCATATCACAACTTGAGTATTCTCGTATTATAGGAAACTTAATGTATTTGACGAATTGCACACGACCAGACATAGCATACTCAGTTAATAAATTGAGTAGATATACTAGTAATCCAGGAAAGAACCATTGGACTGCAATAATCAGGGTTCTAAAGTATTTAAAATATACTATAAGTTATGGATTACATTATTCTAGATATCCAGCAGTACTTGAAAGATACAGTGATGCTAATTGGATATCAGATACAAAGGATTCTAAATCCACAAGTGGCTATGTCTTTACTATTGGAGGAGGTGCCATATCTTGGAAATCTTCAAAACAAACTTGTATTGCCAGATCCACTATGGAATCTGAATTTATTGCTTTGGATAAAGCTGGTGAAGAAGCTGAGTGGCTTCGTAATTTCTTAGAAGATATTCCAAATTGGCCTAAACCGGTGCCCGCTATATGTATACATTGTGATAGTCAATCAGCAATTGGAAGGGCACAAAGTAATATGTATAACGGTAAGTCTCGACATATACGTCGACGACATAATACCGTTAGACAATTGCTCTCAAGTGGGATAATCTCAATAGATTATATCAGGTCAAAAGATAATTTAGCGGATCCATTTACAAAAGGTTTGACAAGAGAGCAAGTGTATAGTTCATCGAGGGGAATGGGATTAAAGCCGAAAGCTAACGAGTCATCTTAATGGAAACCCAACCTAGTTGACTGGAGATCCCAAGATCTAGGTTCAAAGGGACAACAGAAATTCTGAATGGCTCACTAGAAGCACTGGGAAGATTTAATCTTCTACCCATTTCTATGATGAGACAGTGTTACCTACAGCGATGAGTAGGATATGCAATGCTTTTAATGACTCTTATACCTTGAAAATTCAAGTGGGGTATGGTAGGATACTCTTAATAAGAAGTCACCTATATGAGTGTGAAGTGGGGCCGTTTCTATGAAAACTTCTAAGGCTAAGTTTTCTAAAGCTCTCATGAAATACAAGGCGTTGTTCAGGGCCATATGAACACAACCATGAGAACCGACTCTGTGCGGGAAGGAACTGTGTGTTTACTATTGTCTTGGTTTACATAAACGGCTGAACAGTTCAAGACATCATATTCACTGGTTAGCCAGTAAATCCGATAGTAATACACTAGGGAATGTTCAAGGCCAAAAGCTACCTATCCCGATGCAGTAACTTTCCAATAGTACTCTCTATAGTGTCTGTATCTTCTTCTTTTGTAATCTGCGCAAATTTTCATTCATGTGGGGGATTGTTGGAAACGGCATTAGAAAACGCAAACTTTGAAAGGATTTTTAAAAGATTCCGCTAAGAATTTTTTGCGACTCTATTGACGAGCGCGTTCCTCTTTGCGAGGAGATGAACGTGGTATATTTATTTTCTCAAATCCGTTTCCGGGTGAATGAGAAATGGGCTCCAAAGTAAGTGATTTATAAAGCCTAAATGGGTGTGAATAAAGTGGGAAATGCTTGTCCCACATCGAAAAAGTAGCAAAGCAACCTTGAGTATATATATGTCTAGTATGGGATTTGGGTTTGGGCCCAAGGGCACCCAAGTTTTTAAAAGGGGGAGGACCTAGGCTAGCCTGGATCCGAACCAACTACCACACACGCGCGCGCCGCCCGCCAGACCCGACCCGGTCCGGTCCGGGCTTGGGCGGGGCGGGGCTTAATTGTAAAATGGGTCTAACCTTTTTACACAAAGTTGGACTAGGCCTGTGTGGTTGAAATTTATTTTATTTATCTACTGGACTTATTTAAGTGGGCTTGCGGGTGGAACACGCTGGGCTGGGCTGAATTAATGGCCGAAGTTTGCTTGCTGGGCTGGATCGGATTAATCTGTTTTGGGTTTAAATTCAAATGAAAAACCATAAAACAGTTTTTGTTTGAACCAAGGGTTGCACCTTTTGAACCTAAATCAGTTTTGGCTTTCTAATGTCTCATTGGTCCACAATGGTTGCATCCATTCGATATATGGGTGCACCCATTTGGAATAGGCACCATTAAGCCTATAAATAGCCCTCCTTGGATTCATTTCAATATACCAAATTCAGAACAAAATCTTCTCTCTTCTGAATTTATTTCTCCCTCTTTTTCTTTTATAATCTGTTTGGGTTCGACCCTAACCAATTGGGTTCAAACCTTAGGGATTCTGTTTGGGTTCAACCCTAACTAATTGGGTTCGAACCTTAGTCACTCACTTCGAGTCCGAATCCGAGTCTGAGAGTACTTCACCGAGCCGGTTCGCCTATTCCATTGATTTGAAGTACTACTACCAAAGGAAGAAAAGTCGTTGTATCTTGGGAGATAGAAGCCGAAGAGTCCGTTAGCACTGTAGCGGGGCGTATCTGTCTTAAGGCTATAGAATTAAATTCTAGCCTCGACTTTAACAGGTTCTTTTATTTTATAGTTTTATTTTCTTGATATTAAACTATATAAATATATATAGATTATTATAATAAATATTATATTTACAAATAATATTTAAATAAATTATACTATAGTATATGATACATCTTTGCTCCACATAAAGTACACTGCAGCTGCCCATAACAACTTATGTACTAAGCAATCTACTGGTAACCAGTGTGTGGAGCACCATTGGATCATGGCATTCCAGCTGTTAGGCCTGATGTAGAACCCAGCCACTTCTTGATTAAACTTCCATATGTTAGAGGAGTAATCACACTTAAAGAAAATGTGGTCAATTGACTCCCAGTCAGACTCACAGAGGTAGCACCAGTTCGTGTAGTGTTTGTATATGACAGGTTTGGCATCAAGTGTGTAGAGTCTTCTTCCTACAGCCAGCCAAAGAATGAGACTATGCTTAGGGATGTGATGCTTACACCATACCACTTTATGCCAGGTAAAGATTGGTGATTGTGGGCTGAAGTATTTCAATATGCGAGCCATAGAGAAATTTCTGTTTGGACACGGTAACCATATGACTGAATATGGATTGGAGGGCAGTTCATGTAATTGGGAAATGAAACTTCTAGATTGGATGAAATGGTGAAGCTGAATAGTGGCTGGATTAGCCCATTGGTTGTTGGAAATTAGTCTATCAACTAAGATGTTGTTATCTAGTTGAAGAATTTCCAAACCAATGAGACCCAATTGCTGTATAAGAGGACCATTTGGTAGCCAGTAGTCTAACCATAAGCTAGTATCATTCCTTGTCCCCACCCTATGCCTTAGTAGACCTCTTGCCATTGTCCTCAGTCTTAGAAGTTTCCTCCAAAACCCTGAACTCAGACATGAAGTTTTAAGCGCCCAAAAGCTCTTTGATTTTACAAGGCATTCCAGTGTCCATGCAACCCACAGGCTCTCCTTTCTCGAACAAATTTTCCAAATGTGCTTCAGACTGGCAACCCTATTAGACAGCTCCAAATCTGGAAAACCAAGCCCACCGTTACACTTGCGTCTGCACACAACTTGCCAAGCCACCTTTGCTCCCTTATGCTTCAAATCAACCCCAGACCAAAAGAAGCTTCTAAGCAGCTGGTTGATTTGCTCAAGAACCTTTTTGGGAAGAATGAAAGCCTGAGACCAAAATGATTGAATAGAACAAAGAACTGATTTAACCAAAACAGCCCTTCCTACATACGATAAAAATCTTGATGTCCAGCTTCCAATTCTTGCTGTGATCCTTTCAATGAGAGTTTGGCAATCCCTTGCTTTAATTAAGGATGAAGAAAATGGCAGCCCAAGATACATGACAGGAAGTGAACCTTCTTCAAATTGAAGAAGTGATAAAATTGCTGCTTTTGGACCATTGTCAACCCTTGAGAAGAAAACCTTGGATTTGTCCCTATTCAGCTGCATTCCAGAAATATTACAGAAAAAAGATAGAGCTACCATTAACACCTGAACTGAGTCTACGCTAGCATGAGAGAACATCAAAATGTCATCTGCAAAAGAGAGGTGAGTGATTGACAGCCTTTTGCACCTCCAGTAAAACCTGAATCTTGGATTGTTTGCAATGTGTTTGTCAATACATAGAGACAATACTTCTATTGCAATAACAAACAACATGGGGGAGAAAGGATCTCCTTGCCTGATACCTCTCCTTCCTTTGAAGTAATCAAACAGTTCCCCATTCAATGAGATTGAAAAAGCTGGTGTAGTTATACATTGTTTAATCCAATTGATAAAAGTAGCTGGGAAACCGAATAAATAAAGAGTGTCCAAGATGAACTACCAGTGAATGGAATCAAAAGCCTTCCTTAAATCAATTTTAAGGGCACAATTTGGGGAATGGTTTATTCTATGATAGCCATTTAGAAGCTCATGTGCTAGTATGATGTTGTCAGACATGTGTCTACCTTTAATGAAAGCAGTTTGGGTAGAACTAATAAGCAAGGGAAGTAAAGGAGCTAGCTTGATGGAGATGAGTTTGGATATGGCTTTGTAGATTATGTTACAACAGGAAATAGGTCTGAAATCATTGGCTGAGGTAGGGTTTGGTTTCTTGGGCACTAGAGCAATATAAGAACTGGAAGGTTTACTAATGGAAGGCTCGTTGCAGATTTTATTGGTATGTTTGAATTGCTATTGTTGTAGTTTAAATTATTAGGTATTACTTCATAATTTTAAATTATGATTCATTCATTGGTATATATATATATATATATGTTTGGAACAGTTTCATATGTTGGTATCAAAGATAACGTGCCATCATATTTGGACCCAACGCTTAGCCTCCAGGAGCTGATGACCGGAGTTAGTTTTGCCTCTGCTGGCTCCGGATTCGACCCTCTTACATCACAACTAAGTGTCTCTCTATCTACATTTACATACATACATACATACATATATATATAACTATCATATAATTTATCTATAAAAATGTGATATATACTGTCAGTGGATTAAACAACCTAACAATTAATTAGATAATAGGGGCATGCAGGTAGTTTACTTGCAACTTTCGGTAAGTACCCCCTCCGTCTTAAGTATTATACTTTCCTTTTTTGTTTGTCTCAAAATAATAGTTCAGTTTCTTTTTTAAAACAATATATTTCATATCTTTCTATATATGTTCTTTGAGTTTAAAATTTTAAATTTGAATATCCCAAACTCAAAAGGATAAGTTAATAATTTTTCAGACAAAGTATATCTCACATATCTCCTTAAAAATTACTACTTTCCATAAGCGACACTTAAATTGAGACGAATGGAGTAGTTCACTTGTAACTTTTTCAAGGTAAACAAATTAATTTGAACATAGGATTTTCTAGCACTCATAATAAATTAAGTGCATGCATGCCAAGATTTTTATACTAGTTATCTAGGTTAAAAAAAAAACTATGGAATTGAATGAATAATTCTTCAAACGTACTGATTTTACATAAGTATATAGATATAGTTCCGCTGATAGCTCGTGTTGTTGAGTTGTGTTTATATTCAAAATTTTAAGTGTTTTATAGATGGACAATGATAAACTGCTCTTATAATTTATAATTAATTGAAGGTAAAAAGCGAGCAAATTAAACAAAGCAATCAAAGTCACAAGGATTAAATAAGATTAAAAACACAGCATTTGCCTAAATATATTTGTCATATTACATTTGAATTTTATTTCATCTATTGATTAACAGATTTTTTCTTTTTCGCTGTTTATTTGCTAACTTGGGAATTGAATTGAATGTGTCCGTGTACAGCAAGTCATCCCAATTGAAAAACTAGTCCAATACTTCAAAGAATATAAAGCAAGACTTTAGCTCAGTATAGGAAAAGAAAGAACGAAGAATCTGATCGGAAGAGCTATATACATTGTTAGTGCTGGAACAAACGACTTCATTATCAATTATTTTGCCACACCGGTCTGGCGAAAAAGCTACTGTGTCTCAAGTTACAGTCAGTTTTTGATGCAACACTTCCAAAAGTTCATACAGGTTCGTTACCTGCTACTGTGCAGTGCCATCAATCAAACGATAATATCGTCACATTTGATCTTGGTTGAATTAATGCTTTACAGATAATATATATATAGATATGTGATATTATGTACTCATATATATATATATATATATGTGCGTGTGTATGTATGTATAGAGAGGATGAAGAAGCATTGTGATCAATAATTTTTTTTTTTTTTGGGTGACTAGCTAGGTTCATTTTTCCCCCCTTGATATGTTATTATATTTATTTATGGTTGAGTACCATATTTGCATTTGTTGCTGTTATTTATACACATTTCTTAAGAGCAACGGTATAGATAGATTTTTGCTAGCAAATGAGTCAGTATTGCGATAGTAAGAGAAGGTGTGGTGCTAGCTAATGGTGGGCCAGCACATTTTGCTAGCAATCTCGATCGCCACAGTAAACAGCCTGGTTGCCAGCCCAAAGTGGGCCCAATGCTTCCCCTGTTTGTTTGTTGCCTTTTTGTTAATAAAAACACGGGTAAAGTGCAAGAAACCCCCCTATATTTTCAGCAAAAAACACAAAACCCCCCTGAACTAAGTAATACTCCCTAAACTATTCAAAATTTGCAATTTAAGGACAAATTCTAAAATCATAGGCACCGGAGCTTACCGGAAATATTAAATTACCAAATTGGCCTTAAATCAACCGACACCGTTTGGAATGTTTATTGTCGTTTGTTAAGTAGCAATCTTAAAAACCAATGATATGGCGACAACCAAACACCTTATCAACAAGCTTCACCTACCCTTCACCGTTTTAGCGCCAAACAACTTCCATACAGACTCCAATCTAAGAAGTTGACTCTGAAACTCAATTTGGAAACCATCGCTCATTCCATACAGAATTACACTACTAACTTTAGCACCAAACACCAACACTTGTACCAGACCCACCTATATATAAGCCACACACGCATATATATATATACATACGGTCGACTTTCCATCTGCACCTTCGATCGAGAATTTTTTTCCTAATTTTTCAAAATTGCCAATTTGTTTCCTCAATTGCCTCCAAAATTTCTCTCTTAGGCAATCTTAACCGCCGCCGGCGCAATATTGCCTCCCCTCGGCAATCTTCATCGCCGCTGGGGCGATATTGCCTCCCATCGGCAATCTTCATCGCTGCCGGGGCAATATTGCCTCCCATCGGCAATCTTCATCGCTGCCGGCGCAATATCGCCTCCCTTCGGCAATCTCCATCGCTGCCGGCGCAATATCGCCTCCCTTCTGCAATCTTCATCGCTGTCGGCGCAATATCGCCTCCCTCACCACCAGTCAACGGAGGGAACTTTTCATAACCCGCCGTCACAATATATATATATATATATATATATATATATATATATATATATATATATATATATATATATAGTTGAACAGAAGCCATGGATCTTGTATACTGTTGATTTGTTAGTTCCAATAAAATAATGTTAAGCCATTTCAATGCATACTTGGTTTTGGAAAACAAAGAGAACCCAAATAAAAGGGATTTTACAAACTTAATTGTGGAGAAGGAGTAGTTCAGATTGAGGTTTGTTTGTTTGTTGCGCGAATGGTACAAGTGCGGTGATTGATTTATCAAATAACTTCAGGCACCAGTGGTGAAGAAGATGAACGTGACCGGCGTGACTTGTCTTGTTGTGGTAATTGAAAGATGGAGTACATGTGTAGTTGGAGTTGGAGGGTCTCTTTCTTCCATTGGAGTTTTGACGCACTCTATCTGATCATTTTTTTTTTTCTTCGGAAGGTAACTCTATCTGATCATTTTGTGTGTCGCTTCAGTTGGGGTTGCAAGGTGAGACCTCCACAGGGATGGCAATGGCGATTTGTGAATTTGGGGTTTCGTTAATTATCCCATAAGTAATAAGGGTAGTACCGGCATTTTGAAATTATAACCTAATTTACATGATAATCAGATGACGGAACAGTGTCATTTGGGTTTTTTTGCAAAAATTAAAATAGTTTAGGGAGTTTTCTTTTAAAATAAAAGTTCAAGGGGGTTTTTTGCAAGAGAGAGTAAAGATCAGGGGGGTTTTTTGCACTTTACCCTAAAAACACAATGAATCTTGAGTGCAAAAATTAATAAAATAACAAATAGCTATCACCATTCGGTCAACTTTTACTAGTCAATTACTGTAATTAGCCACGTCAGCACAATTGCTGACGTGGCTAGCAATCAACATTTGCATTGCCAGCCGGTATAGCTATTGCTATACCGGCTGCCCTAATTGTGGTTCTGTTGGTGGTCAGAGTTATATATGTAATCAATATTGATGTGACCTAAATTCGTACCATACAATTAAAAGGTGGTTTTAAAAAAAAAAAGCTTCTAGCCGTACATTAGTACATTTGTCCATTGGAACTGCAATTAATTTTGTCCACTCATCATTTTGTTTCATTGTATTTTATAACCAGGAGTTATTAATTATTCAGAATATAGAGCTGAAGCAAGATCAAACATGTTTTTTTTTATTATTATTATTTATTATACTATATTACATGCATATATTTTTTTCCATAAATAAATTTAGATAACTACATACTAAATTTCATATGATAAGAAAAAAGTTGGAAATAATTCAAAATTTCTAGGGAAGAACACCTTGTAGGTTTCCAACAAAAAATTTATATGGATTTAGATGGAGTAAAAAGAATCATGATTGTTGTATGATGATTCTAATGAGTTGTGTTTTATAGGTTTATAGGAATTGATTGAGCAGGGAGCTTGGAAAATCACGGTGACCGGATTACCGCCAATATTGGGTTGCTTGCCTTAGCTATCACCATTTATTCAGGAGACGCATTTTATCAACGTCGTTGTGTTGAAACCCTATCATCTATCGCTAGAGACTTCAATCGGAAGCTCCAAATTAAGCTCAAATCCATGCAAAACAATGGCACCACCATCCTCTACCTGGACGCATACAAACCGCTGTGTAACGTGATCCAACGGCAGAGACAGTTTGGTAAGTAAGTACGTACATAGGAGGACCATCCTATTAATTCCTGCACTAAAGGATCGAAGTCGAATTCAAATTCGTGACTGTTGATCTGTTTGACCTTTCTGTAGGTTTTGAAGATGTTACCAATGGCTGTTGTGGGACCGGGCTTCTTGAAACAACATTTCTATGCAATCCAGGATCAACTGTTTGCGTTTATGCCTCCAAATATGCATTCTAGGATTCAGTACTCCCAACTCAGAAGACATACCACATCATCTTTCAGTCCCTACGTTCCGTTATCGATTCCCTCCTTCATAACTAGCTAATTTTCAAATTAAACATATACTCATCTCAAAATAAATTCTGTACTTAGTGTTTCTTTTCGAGAATTTAATTTTTTAAAAGGATAGTTTTTACTTTTTTTATTATACTGATGGTGAATGAATTACCCAATTTATTTATAAGCTTAATGTAAGAATGTTAAATTTATAATATTACAAAAAATAATTAATCATTCACCGAGACTCCAATTCATTTTTGTTACTAATTGACATTTAGATAAACACCCTAAACTAAAGAGAGATTTTATTTTTATTGGATACTATTTGTTGGAATTGTACAAAATAATCAATAATTATTTGTAACAGTACACTTCTATTTAACGGGAATGCACTCAAGAAAATGTTAGTTGTGGCAAAGCTTAGCACCATGAGTTTGAAAAAAATTGAGGCTGCCACAAAACTTCTATGGGCTGCCTATCAAGTATCGACCCAAACAAGTCCACAAGTTTATCGTGTTAAAAAATCACATTGGTATTATTAATTATTATTATTTTCAGAGATAGAACGGAAAATATATAGATAACGGATAATAATTTTAAGGTTAAAAGAGTTTAAACAAAATGAGAAACAAGCGAATGTATTCATTGAATGGAGCATTTGGCTCCCCAATTCTTTTAAACTTTTCGTCTGACATATCGTTAGTTATAGAACACCAAGAGAAACTAAGTGCATCTTGTCACCAACCCACTCATAGCACTCTGAACCTCAACTAGCATGTCCGGTTCCAATAGCACATCCTCGCGTCAACACATGGGCAACATCAACCTTTTTGCAACGATCACCTAATATTCAGAAAAACTGAGCCAAATTTGAACTATAATTTTCTACGATTTTAATTTTAGTACACCAATGCAATAAAACATAGCTTAAGTTCATTTTGAATTCCTTACACCAATTTGGTCACTCTTTTTAGTTTTTTAGCCCAATAACATTTCTCTAACTTCAAAAAGGCATAAGAAATAGAAGACCATCATACTATCAGGAGTTTTCAGCTCAACAACATTTTCCTAAGTGCCCTTTATGAAATGTTTAGAAGCATAGAGAGAGAAGAAATCACTACAAGAAATGTGGGCTTTTACGACATAGTATTTACGGGGCCTTTTTATTTTGCCTCGTGATTACCATCATTTACGGAGTTTTTAAAAGAATTCTCGTAATTGTTATGTTATAGGACATGCTTCCACGAGGATTTAGTAAAATCGTCGTAGAAAAATGTTTTTACGGTATATTAAAGAGGTCGTGAATATTTAGATATATCTACGGTATATTTGTACACTTTTAACAGTATAAATGTTCCTCGTTGAAAACTTTCACATTTAAGGCATTTTTTTTCCCCCCGGAAATAAGCAATAACACCTGCCCACCAAATTGAATAGGCACAGCTAATAAAATTACTTAAAAAATATATTTAAAAAAATGAATTTAAGTCTTTTACGGTGTATTAAAGAGCCCGTGAATAAATTTCACACTTAAGGCGCCTTTTTTGCGCCTTAAATAAGTTCCACCAAAATAGCCGGCCAAACAAGGAAAAAGCCCACCAAAATACTTTCCCACCGAAAAAATTTCACTCCCCCGCCAAAGTGCCAAAGTAAATAGGCGGACAAAAAAAGAAAAAAAAGAAAAAACCCATTTCAGAGTTTTTCTTCCCCAAAGAAGCTTCAACGAGAGTGTGGAAAGAGAGAGACCCGAATCTCTCATCTATCGATTTCTTTGGACGAACCGTGTTGGTGGCAGTAACTTGAGGAAAGAAAGCTTGATTTCCTAAACTCATCTTTCTCTGATTGAACTCCGGACGGTGTCGATCATTCCGTCAGCGACTAGCGAAGAGGTTAGGATTTTCAACCAGCGACGAAAAATTGAAGTTGAATCGAGCCACCATGGACGACGGTACGTACCTTGTTATAGTTGCCTCTCATCCTTTCCATTATCAGTCTAATCTTTTTCACAAAATTTTCTCTATATGTATACATTTTTATACACATATGTTTGTATATATGTGTGTGTGTCTGTGAATTGATTCTTGATTTGATCTATTTGAGCGAGCTATTTGTTTATACCACCTAGAGAATAAAATGTTTATTCCCACCAAAACCCCCCCTTACTCACATGGGAAACCTTGAAAAAACAAAAACAAAAACCAATTCCCCCTAATTTTTCTTCAGTCCTTTCGCAAAGAGAAGCCCTAGAATATGATACGCCGACCGCCACAGTCCTTGATTCCACTGACCACAACCTTCGTTCGCCTTGATTTGCATACTTGTCGTATTTCTACCCTCATTGAAGACTTTCAAGCGCTGCCTCATTCTAGTTCTCTCTCGAGTACTCTTCTTTTCTTTTATCTCTCTCAAAATACTGCGGTTTCAGTTTGGCCGGAGAATCGAAGAGATCTGGGGCATATTTCATAATGCTATCTTTCTCTCGGTGGGATTTCACGATTGCCTCTCTAGCACCCCTATCCATACTACAACAACGTTCACAGCCGCCACCAGGTCAAAACCTAAATTTCCATTATTTTTTTATATTTGTATACAATTTGTTGAATTTCCTGTCCTATGAGATGATTTCAATTTAATTGATAATGGAATAAATTTTCCCATAACATTGATTGTATTGCGTATTTATGAAGAAATTTTTTTTTTTGCCTACATTTATATAATTCTATGGAATAGATATGCTTGTTTTTTGGAGTTTGATTGTTCGGAGTTGGGTTGGGGATGTGATGACCTGGAATAACAATTATTTCATCTTATTTAATTTTCATGTTTCATTTCTTTGTTTCTTATGATGGTATGTAGGTAGATGCCAAAGGTTTTCACATTAATTACATTTTTGGTACTCTGTTTGGGAGTTTTTCTTTCATTTCTCAGTCTTTTCTTCTTAATATTAGAATCATATCAATAAATGAAATTTCTGTACAACATAAATTCAAAAAAAAAAAAAAAGAAGACAGAAAAATTTAATCAAAGATCTAATGATATCATTAAAAATATATTTTGCTATCCTTTTTATTCTTGTTCTTCCCTTTATTGAAATTAAGTGTTGTCCCATTTCAAAATTTCTGATTTTCATTATTATTTTCTGAGTTTGCAAGCAGTTTTGGATCTACTCCTAAAATGCTCAATTCCAATTGGTTGCTAAAGATATTCGTTGTCTATTACTTAGTACAACTTAAAAATTAAAAGATATTCTTTGTGTATTCAACTTAGATGGACACATGTTCTATCTAATAGCCTTCTCTAATGTGTTATGTATTATCAAAAGTATCAAATAGAACTATAGAAGATTGAGAGTATCCAAGTAGGTAGAAAATAGGTACCAACATTCAAAAAAAAAAAAAGAAGAAGAAGAAGAAGAAGAAGATGGGTTTCAAACCCTACTGGCATGGGCAAAATTAAAACAAACATTCATCAAAGTCCCTAATGTATGTGAGTTGTGATAATTGAAATGCTCTCTTTACCTTCCCAGAGACTTGATATTACAAGTACTGCATGAATATTATACAACATATAAGAATTTCTCTCTCTAAACATATTCAGCAATGCAGTTCATTAGCAATTAGAAATTCTGATTAGGACTTGCTATTTTATTTCCAACATATCCCTAAATTTATTATGGATAATGACCATAAAGATTCAGGACCAACACTGGACCATATAGACATATAAACATGGAAAGAAGCTTAACAGTGAGCGATGCGAAAACAATCCATGTTGTGGAGGTTCATGAATTTTCCCATCTGCTCTAAAAACTTAGAGATTTTAAAAATATATGCATATACAATAAATAACACATTTTAGGTTCCACCTACATACATTGCATTTACTACCACCTGCTCTGATCTCCCACCTGCATACATTGTATTTACTACCCAATTCTCAATTATTTAGAAGTTCAACACTTAATATCCAACTCAACTGATCTTGAAGATCAACATTTTGTGGTAGATTTTGAATTTCATGAGTTAGTTTCATTTGTATTCTTGAAAGTGAAAGAAGAATGATAGATGTTGTCCATATTTCCATATTGATTGTATTTATGGGCATTTCTTTTTTTAAAAATTCCTGCCTGCTAAGTTTGAATATTTAGCTAAGAATGAAACTTATTTGAGTAATTAATATTAGTTTTGGTGGTGGTATGGTTTGCTACTTTTCATATAGTTGGTTGATTCGTACTTATTTGAGGAACTAAGATTTTAATGAAATAGAGAGCTTTTCTTGGCTATTATGTTAAGCCTTGCTGGGGATTTTATTTTATTAATTAGATTAAAGAGATTTATTATTTATGCATGTCTAAATATTGCTTTGTTTGAGTGTATATATTTACATTTGGAATAATATTTTTTGTAAATTACATAGGTGCCAGGCTGACTTCACACATGGAGGTGCTTTAACTAAGTTTTGGTGGTTCATGGATGCTGTTTTCAACAATGGTGTATAGAGATACATTAGTTAAATGAACATTGGTGTACTAGACAAGTCTTTTTACATACTGAATGGTTATTTATGGTGCACATGAGTTTTGCCCTTTAAATATTTGTTTAATTTTGTGTTTTGGTTTTGGTTAATGAAGTTTGTTATTTGTTCTTAGATGTGACTAATTTTTTTGAGGTATATTTCCTACATTTGTTATGGCGGAGTGATGATACTTGAAAATTAGATGTTATTTTGAGTTGGCGGCAACTAATATTTAGTTGGAATATGGAATTTGAGTTGAATATTTATAATGAATGATATATTTTATTCATTTATTTGGAATGGTTATGATAAAATATTCAGTTTCTTAAGTCCCAAGAAGAATAAATAGTGAAGCCTTCACTATATATGACAATGATAAAAGTGTTTTCATAATCCCATTCTCACACACATCTCTAGAAGCAAATTATATAAATTGTAAAATTATAGATGGGAATGATTCACTAAGAAGTCTGCTTATCAATTTTAAAGATATGTTTTGACTTGGGTCTTGAATTATTAAAGAACTATTAAAAATCAAAAACATATGTTCTCAACGTATTGATACATTGAAGTAGTGTTGGAGACCTGTACAAACGTTTTAGTATCAACCATACACTATGGAAATGGCTCGTTTGCAAAAGCTTTTGTTCTTCATAGGTCACATAGATTTGAGTCTTCCAATAGAAAATAGGAAGAAACAACTGTGTTTATTATTATTAATTATTTTTTTCAAAGATTTGACACATTTCCAGTGTGTTTAGTTGAGTGTTAGCATGTCAAACTTGAACTAAAACAGTTCCAGTTAGAGGTATTGGCCAGTGCTTAGAACTGCTGCTGCTGATGATGATACCACCACTATTAATAATAGTTCATTATATTGAATGCCTGGGCTGGCATCATATTATTGTTTTATTTATTATTATTATTATTTTTTTAAGTGGCAACATGTATCTTAGTAATTCTGCATCTTAATTATTCGAATATGTTGAGAAAATTTGGCATTCATTTTTTCCTGCTCGGTCTTTCCAATTAATGTTGGAACAAAACTGAAATTTTGAAATGGTTTTGTAGGATGTGATTGATAGAGATTTGTGTGAGCAGTTCCTAACATTGCCGCTGGATCTGCAATGAAAAATTGCAGATGAATTGGACATAACTCCAACAGAGATTTTGAAGAAACTTGAAGAAGTTCGAAATAAGACCATTTGAGAATTATTAGTCCTAAGGTACATTAATCCTCTACTAACCAACTTAGACATGTCTTTTTAGCATGGATATGTATTTATATATTGTGAACGTAATTTTTATGTTTATGTTATACTACACAGAAAATTGGTGGTAATAGTTTACAATCGGTCATGCATTTGCTTTTTCTTGATATGTCTTTCTTGTTATGTGGTTTTTTTTTTTTTTTTTATCTATAATAGCTATCAAATCTGTCTATAGAAAATTGCACCAGGGTGGACACAACGTGAATGGAACAAGGTGCATCTTTTGGAGTATGGGTCTGAGTACTCGACATGCTAGAAGAAGCCAATAAAAATGAATAAGAAAAAATAAATGATAGGAAGTTGAATGAGAAGGGGCATAACAGAGAACATAATACCATTATATAGATGTTGTAGCATTATATAGATGTTGAAGGAATTGTAAAATTAGAGATGGGAATGATTCACTAAAACTTACTAAAAAAGTTTCATATGTAGAAATCAAAAATAGAAAAAAGCATTTCTAAGAAAAATGGGAAGGTAGAGAAAAGGTCAATAATTATGTCAGACCATTGTAAGATAGAAATGTAACCAAAATGTGACCAATAGATGAGGTTAATTGGAATATATATGACTTTAGAAGAACAATATTTCTGAAAGCTAGTTAATTGGAAAAATAACCATTTGCAGTTTAATTTTGTTAGGGTGGAAGAAAGATAATAATTGTACTATAATCTTTATTGATAATATATATATATATATATAATTTTCTTTATATCCTTAGCGGGGAAAAAAAAAAAAAATTGCATTATGAAGGGCATCTAGAGCACATCCAAACCTTGCCCTTCTTTAGAGAAGACAAAGGAAGAATGCTAGTAGGGAGGGAGTGAGCGATACACAACAGTGAAAGGATTGCTAGTTGTCTTGGATTACTACCCCGGTTCAACATATGACTGCTCCATCTTTTCTTGCTTTCCGTACCCTCTTCAAATAACATGCCGTTAAGAAAGCAGCTTGCTCTTTCTACGTGCCAACCTCAATACAAGCTACCGCCACTCCGTGGTCTCATCTATAAGTATGATGGGAAACTGAGATTATGAGGGTAGAGCGAAAATACAATAAGCTTAGCTTCGCAACAACAGCATTAAGCAACTCTCTGAAAATAGGTGGAGCTGCAGTTGTCTTTGCCCCCATCCTGAAATTTTCCTTTGGGAGAATATAAATGGAAATTCCATAATCTTGAGGCCGATTTTGTTAGTTGAATTGAATCTTTCGTGTTAATTTTTGTACTAAAAATTCCAACTTTTTTCTGTAAAATCAATTTCTTTTGCAGGTAAATTCATGCCTGTGATAAAGAAGGCAATGGTAGAGCTTGAAGGTAAAGATCCTTTTATTGCAATCACACACTTATGTTTAGTGGAATTGATTATCTATTTTCGTGTCACTGGATGCAACGAAATTTTATGGTGTAATGCATTAATAATTAATTGCAATTGGCATGAACCCTGACTTATATAAATCTGAACCAACCAAAATGTAATAATTTTTTTTCCTACATGTAATAATTAATTGTAATTGAATTGATTTCTCAGCTACATTCTTTTGTTTTTGATTTTCTCAGTCATGTAATATCAAATTACCATTACACAGATAAAGAACATAGCAATGAAACAGTTGAATTTCAGTCACAGCACACACTCAGCAGGCTTTTTAAACTGAAAACCTTATTTAGTGAGGTTTATGAGGTCAAAACAAGAACAAACCAATTTTCTGGTTTATAATCAACTTCAACAGCTTCAAATCATCAATATAATCATGCTCAGATGATGTACAAACATAGTACAACAAGATTATATCATGATAAACTCAGTTCCAACAGTATAAACCAGAAAAACAAGTTAAATTGAGGGTTTGAGATATGAGATTCTATACCAGCTTTGATATGTGTTCCCAAATGACTTCAGCTGATATAAACCACCAAGATACACTTGCTCACCCCTTGTTCTAGTTTAAGAAATAGCCACAACAAATTTTCACCTTCTCAGTCTCATTTTTCACCATAAAATAAGCTTCACAGCCCCTTATAGTCTTCATTAGATTAGCACCTTTGTATGTTGATTCCAGAGCTCAAACACAGCACAACTCTTCAAAGAATCACTTTGAAATCATCCTGAACTATTAGCTTTCGAGGACCTTTTCATTTTCAGCTCATGAGGTTCATTTTTGGCTCTCAAAAAGTGCACACTCTCAGCTCTAAAGCTTATTTTCAGGTTCTCTCTTGTACACCCTTCTGCTGCTGCTATAACAGCATATATATATCAAGAAATTGTTGCCCTAGTGTGGATGAGTATTCTCCATCACTGGCCAATTGTAGATACTAATATAATCTGACATTGTATACACTGAATAGACCAAGCAACCTGAGTGCAGCCCTAGCTTGTATCACACAAACCACCTTTTCTGCAGCCTACATTGTCATTGTACAATGCTGATACATATACAATTAAGAGCTTCATTTTTCTGTTATTATCCTATCACTCTAGGACCACTGTTCATGTGGCTCAATGTAGGGGGTCCTTTATTGCACAATGAAAATACTAGGAAATACCATAATTGCCCTTAACAAGGATATATATTGCTGCAATGGCTGTGATGTATATATATACCTGATAATAACCTCTGTGGTATATTGCAGCATATAGTAAGAGTATAACACATACACACTCATGAGTATAATGACTGAAATGCCCCTGAATTGCCCTTGTGATACCAATATAGATAGAATAACCATGAACCCTTTTGGTTAACATTTGACATTAAAAAGGCAAACCTCACTTAGAACCAACAAATACAAGACATTTTCCAATCCTTACATCCCGAATTCTCATAAAAGGGGGCTCCAATGCATCCATTGAGAATGATGAACTCGGACTGTTGCTTGAAACCCCATCCGATCGCTCCAGTAGCCTTTGTATCTCCTTCTCTACCTTAATGAGCTGTTCCTTGAGCTTTAATACCTGTTTAAATATCAAGTCTTATGTTAATTAATTACGAGATTAATGAGTTTAAAAACTTAGGAGCTAGGAATTATAATATGGGATCATGAAATGCCATGTGTTGCTCCACCCAGCTACCTTAAAGAACTATGTACGGACTCTTGTGAATTGATGAAACATGTAGAACTGTTTTGCTTTCTTGTGCCTTGGGAGACACTTGTATTCTTATCAACTTTCCTTTTCTCTTGTTAATTAGTCTATTTTTATAGCAATATTAGCTACCTTAAACAAATATTACTCCATAAAAAATAAAGTAAATAAATAAATTATGGTAAGGTCTAGGGAGTGGAGTGCAGGAGGTTTCTTTTATGTGCGAATATAAATAATTTTTCTATAGGTTTCTTTGATGATATCTTGGTCAGTAACTGTCCTTTGTATCGAGCAAACCTAAATGGAAATTTTTATCTTCGTGATGCTAACATAAGCTTAGTTGTATGGCCTAAGAAATATGTGAAAATTATTCAGGTCAATTAGTCATTCATTAACTTATTATTATATTTCTTAAATTAATCGTACGATTTGATTTTTTATGTATTTGTTGGCATTACATTTTTGAAATATTTTTTCCTGACAGGATTGATTATCACCAATTCATTAGGAGTAGAAGAATCAGAATTTTTATGGTTCCAGTTTACAACAAAGGTCAAATACTAAGCTTCTTTTATGATTGCACAATTTTAATGCTTTTTATACTCATACTTAGGGGGGTCACGTACCTTTAAGTGACCAATTTTGCGGTGTATCTTGAACTTTATTACATTATTGGTACATCAGCCCGTGTGGAGGCCATTTTTATTTCTTGTTTTAAAATGTTGAAAGCATGGGAGTATGGGATCATCGTATGTGGAGGTTTTGATTGATTATTGTGGAGGAGAAGTTGTTGATATGTTGTTTATAAAATGAAACAAGATTTTGAAAAGAAATTCTGTCCGTCCCTAATTGTTGCGTGCCAAAAGAGCTTTAGGGACAGTAAAATATGACTGTGACTAAAAAACTCGACTTTTAAGGACAGTATTTACTGTCCCAAATAATACCGTCCCTAATAAATTTTAGGGACGGTAGAGATTGTCCCTAATACTCTATATATTAAGGACAGTTTTTATGAACGTCCCTGATGCATATAATTTTGAGGACAGCATGTACCGTCCCTAAACACTAATTTTATTTATTTTTTTATATTATTTTTTGGACCACATGCACCATGTTCTTTCTTTGGTATCAACATCATCACCATGTTCTCTTTTTAAAAACTTCCAAAAAAAAAAAGAAAAAATTCATCATATACAAAACAATAAAATAAGCTTTAAACCAAATCTAACAATAGCCATCAAAACAAAAATAAATCCACCACATCGGTCTCTAGAAAAGTAGAAAGTGATATAAGTATATACATGTATGTGTGTAGAGAGAGAAAGAGGGGCCTTCATGGAAAAGTAGAAAGAACTCACAATTGTTGGAGATGATAATCAGAAACCTGAAGCCGAAGAAGGTCGAATGGTCGATGTGGTCGAAGAAGAACTCACCACCGATGAATGCAGGGAATAATTATAAGAAGTATATCTAATTCTTGAGAATCAATCCCAGTAGAATAATTTCAAACATTCAATATATTAAAAATATAAGATATGTTGTGTCTATACAAGAACAAACTAGTTAGCTAGGATGAGGAGACGATCACAGCTATAGTAGGGGAGTAGTGTCTAATATAAAATGTTTGAAAAAAGTTAAAATAAGGTGCATTACATTGTAACATTTATTGAGTTCTCCGTTTTTTTTTTCCAATTATTTATATATTTTTTTTGGGTACAACTTCTGAGAGGACCTGATCCTATGACAAAGACTATAACTCGGCGGGGCAAACCCAAAGCCCAATCCAAAAAAATTGGGGTTTTGGCAGTGTTATTTGGAATTTGGTCTAGGCTTGGATTCATCCATGTTTAGCAACCCAAAATCCAACCCGAACCTGTCATGAATTAGCTAACATTTTTTTTTTTAAGGTAGAAGTGTAGATGAGTTAGAAAGTTAAGCTAGATTCTATTATTTTCCTACATTAATGCATATTCCTACATACAAGGTTGAGGGTGGTGAATATATTTTTTTACCTTCATTTGCTTTGTGATTTGTGGTCAAGAGATCAAGTTGGAAGTTCTCCACCTGGTTTATGAACTCTCTAGATTCTGTCATGTGACAGAATCTAATCCATTGGAAATCTTTCAACCTTGTTTTGAGATTTTTGAAAGGTTTTAAAGTGCAACTGGTTGAAATTAATCGGTTGCACATGTCATGTTGCAGAGACATTATTTTTGGATATATTTTATATTCTTTTTCAAATAAAATTAGTTGAGGTGTTCAATAGAATTTTGACAATACTTTTTTACTTTGACTTGAACGACGAGAGAGTATTAAATATCTAGGGACCGGGGTTATTCCAACCCATAAATGTTAGTTTGCAATAATTCAATGAATATAGAATGTTAATACGAATTTTTAATGGCCTGTTGCGTGAATTGTATATGGATTAATTGTTATAGCCTTTTTTCCTATTTAAACCCAGTTAACCACACACCCTTAGCATTAATATCAGATACAACGAAAACTAGACAAATCTTTCAAATTAAGTGCAGTCCTTGTCATTTATCCCCTGATCTTGTTGCAGTTGGAGTGTATGAAGAAATCATAAAATTAACATCAGCACAGTATATAAACAATTTAGCATAAATTCGTGCATGAGAGTTCCTGAATCAATACGAATCATTAAAAAATAAAAAAAGAAAAAGTCATAGACATTATCCATCAATTAGATACAGAGGTTCTTGCTAATCCAATATCCAAAGCAGAGAGTATTTATGAATTTTATGTTTCAATCCTATAAAAAAGCAAATATACAGATCTGAGAAGCACCGGAAAAAAATTTTAAATATATAAAAATGTTTGTGTTTGATTCATAAATGATAATCTTGTTATTTCCTTTTTTTATTAGCATTCTGAATTTGAGACTTGTGTGATGCAGTTACTCTCGTATCTGTGTTTATGCTATCTGTGTTTATGCTACCTACTTCATAAGTGATTAGTCAGTTTGGATGTAGAACTGGCCCATTACTAAAATTGAAAAATAATAATAATAATAATAATAATTTAAGTCCAATGACAAATGACTAGATATAATAAAAGAGTAATTATAGGAAATTTAACAGTCAAATAAGTCTCATTAATTTCATGTGAGTAGAAATAATATTATTGTTAATGACATTGTCTTAATGATCCACTCCCATATATTTGTTCATATTTGTGGATGATTCTTTATAAACGTGTATGCAAAATCAATGAGTCACGTCATTAGTTATTCCAACTTGCCTCTTTCACGTAAATAGCAAATAAATATTGAAGGAGTTCTTATTGAATTTGAACTTTTTATGGACGCATTGAAACTTAATCAATACGACTATGGAATCCCAAGTAAAAGTGGGGTTGGTGGACCATAGTCTAATTAAGGCTATACAACAATGTGTGATTTTTTTGGGGTTCCCAAACGTATTGGTAACATTTTCTAATTATGTCGTTTATGAGGTCATTCCCGAATTATATACCATCAAACAAGATTTCAGATCAAGTGTTAATTAATCTTTCTAATTTTTCATTTTACGTGCACAAAGAACTTTATGTTAAAATAAAAAAAAAATAACATCACTAAATAATAATTTGATTGTTCTTGTTATCTTAGAAAGTCCGATTTTTCAAGCTTCCGCACCCCTAATTTTTAAAATAATATTCTTATCTTGAGATTAGCAATTTTGTAATTTCAAAATTAAGATTTTTGTTAATCCAATTTACTTTTTTTTTTCTTTAAAAAAAAAAAAAAAATGGATGGAGAAGAGACAGATGTGTAATGATTGGCCCCTAAAACAGATACAGAAAGGACATTGGATTTTTAAATTCACATACATACACACACATATATATATATATGGGACATATTGCAAATTTGCAAGTTGCAACAAGTTTGAAACAACGAAATTATCGTTTTACATGCTTCGACGGGTATTAAATTTGGTAGACTGAAAAATTAATGATTGTGGGTTCGTAACCAACAGAGAACCAACTAGCACTGAGTGGAAGCAAACAAAAACGTAGACCATCGTCATCAATGCAGCTCACTGCCTTAGAATAAATTATTGCATCAAGAGATAGCCGGATTGAAAAATTAAGGAGAAAGAAAATATTAATAACAATTCTTACTTGGATAATTTTCAGTGTTCCTGTACCTTCGTCATTAATTACATTTATTGATAGTAATTTAGGTGTGGCAATTTATATTTGTCGATCATAATCGTGTTGTGTTAATATAAAAATATTTTATTTAATAATTCAATTCAAACAAGACATTTTTAATAATCGTGTCAGCAACTTGAACTCTAATCCAACCCATTTATTAAAGGGTTACAGATGTAACCTATTTAATGATCTATTTATTAAAACAAAACATTATATTTTTTAAATTATTAATAATACTCAATCAAACAATAAGTACTAGAAAAATATAAGTTTCAATCCAACCAAATTACTAAATACTCTCTAATTTACTAAATAATAAAGTATAAAACACAAATTAAAATAGTTATTTTGAAACTTAAATAAAAATTTGTTTATTATTAGTATAGTTAAACATGTATAAATGGATTACACGGGTTAAACCCTCAACCCAAATATCATACGATTAGTTAATCATGTCGATTCGTTTATAATCCGAATCCGTTTAAGGTCAATTTAAACCCGTTTAACTTGTGTCATGTTCGAGTCATGTTAACAGGTCGTGTCAAACTTTGACACCCCCATAGTAATATCACATACTCTGACTCTTTTTTGTTTGTTTGTTTGTTTAATATATTATTTTATTTTAGCGATACTTACACTTACCTCATCAATAGATTACTTAAATAATATGGGTCTCTCCTATATTTTCAAATATAATACTGACCTCCCCTATCAATGTTGACCTTGACCTGGATGTGTTAAATAACTATCATACCTATTTTGCTTTTACTGTTTTTTAATGCAAAATATTTGTTTCTTTATGGACAAAACATTTTTTTTCAAGATTTACTCAAAAATCTTGAAATTGATATGATTGGGTTTTAAGTAAATTTTGAACATGACATTAGCGTACAAAAGTGTTACAGTGTTCAATGACGGATGCACATTACACTCAATGGGGACAATTGCCCCCACTGATTTATTTGTTTATTTATTTATTTTGTCCTGTTATACACCACTAAGTTTCCTTATTTTCAATTACATAAGTATAAAGTTTTTATTTTACCCCCTCTAAAATTACAAAAAAATTACACTAAATTTATTTTTGCCCCGCTCCCACAACTTCCTGGATCCGTCTCTGACAATGTTATTCAGACTTGAATCAAATAAGAGGTTAATGTTGTTTTTCAAGTTAGATGAGAACTTCAAGTCGCCATGTGTGTGTCTGAATCAAATAAGAGGTTAATGTTGTATTTGAAGTTAGATGAGAACTTCAAGTCGCCATGTGCGTGTGTGTGTGTGTGTGTTTGTATGTATTATATATATATATGTGGACTTTTCAAAAATTTGAAATTGATAGCACTGAAGTGATAAGCATTCACAATTTCTGGTCTAAACAGTTACGCGTAGTGTCTTTCAAATGCCATGATCAATGACGGGACCATTCTCATCTACTTTAAAGGCTCATTTTGGAGTCTATCTTGCTCGAGTATTTATTTTGTCAGTCAGTTTGAGAAACTTCAGTTTCATATTTATAATGGAATTATGACTGAAACCACTCAATACTTGCAGTTGTTGCCGGGTTGAAGCTAAGCCCACTTCTAACCAGTCCGGCGCTTGTCATCCAATTCAAAATTTTAAGTCATCCAATTGGGGTTGTCTACCCAATGTTATAACTTATTTGATTGGGATAAAACTTATACTCTTAATGTTTTCGTTGTGATCAAATTACAATACCTATTCATCTACTCTAATGGTGGGAGGAATTGATAGCAATTCGATTCCAAATACCCTCAAGTGAACGAGAAAATTTTCATTGTTCATGTTGTATTGTATAATGGGCGCATTCAACCGTTTATTATTGACATGTATAATATACCATACATGTGCGAACATGTGTATTAGACAAATGGTACGTCCGGTTACACCCGTTGTACCGTTCAACAGCCAAAAAAAAACAAGAAAAATTCTTCGATACACGCTTGGCATGACACTTGAGTGAGTCAACTTTAATCCCACTTATAATATGTTAGACAATTGAAATAATAATAATAATAATAAATAAATAAAAAAAAAGAGATCTGTGTTTCATTAATTGAGAGGGTAAGAACATAACAACATGGGTATTATAAACTTTTCTCCTACTATAAATGATGTGTGTTCCATTAATTCCAATCAAAATTATCCCACTAACTGAGAACTTATCCTTCTCATCACACACACACACAAGAAGTTATTTTCTTCTCCGAGCTAGCCAATATGAGTTCAGCTCAGACACACTTTCTAATTACTGCACTCTTTTCTATGCTGATAATTTTAATCTCAAAAGCTGATTCAGCTGCTCAAACCCTAATTCCCAATAATCAGAAGCCCATTAACAATTCAATTCCGGCAGCTTTCATATTCGGAGACTCGACAGTTGATTCCGGAAACAATAACTACATCATGTCTCCATTTAAGAGCAATTTTCCACCTTATGGCAGAGATTTTCCGAACCACATTCCGACTGGAAGGTTTTCTAATGGACGCCTCGTTACAGATTTTATTGGTGTGTTTAAATTGGTAACATCGTAGTTAATTTAGATTTATGGGTATTCAATTATTAGTTCATAATCGTAAATTATGATTCATTTGGTGTATATATTTGTTTGGAACAGTTTCATATGTGGGCATCAAAGATTTCGTGCCACCATATTTGGACCCAACGCTTACCCTCCAGGAGCTGATGACTGGAGTTAGTTTTGCCTCTGCTTCCTCCGGATTCGACCCTCTTACACCACAACTAAGTGTCTCTCTCTCTCCATATACATCCATATATATATATATATATATATATATATATATAAAAATGTCATATATACTGTCAGTGACCAAACAACCTAACAATTAATTGGATAATAGGGGCATGCACGTAGTTCACTTGCAACTTTTTCACGTAAATAAATTATAATATGAACAAAGAATTCTGCAGCACTCATAATGAATTAAGGGAATGCATACCAAGAATTTTATAGTTATCTGGGCTTAAAAATATATGGACTGAACTTGAGTGATAAAATTAAATTAAGATAATCGTGCAAGATGTAATGAAGAAATTTTTAAAGTGATTTTACACAAGTATATAGATAGGGTCAAGTGTAGAATATACTCCTAAACAAAAAACACACGTATAGTTTCAATTTGGTATAAATAGATTTCTCTCATAAATTTAAACTCCAAGTTGATTAAATTACTAACCATTTTATAAAATATATAAAAATAAATAATTTTGAAAAATGATAGAAAAGGGCACTATTAATTGGAGGATGCTCCTCTCATGCAAAAAATACCATTAAAGTTTAAATCTGGTGCAAATAAGTCCCTCTAACAAATTTAAACCCTAAGTTGACTAAATTACTCTTACTGAACCATTTTATAAAATATATAAAAATAAATAATTTTGTAAAATGACCAAAAAGGACACCATTGGAGGACATTGGCAATGAACAAGATAAAAATAGAAAATAAAAATAAATAAATAAATAAAAGTATAAAGAAAAGTAAAGATAAAAATAGAAAATAAAAAATAAAAATAAAGTGCAAACTAAAGAAAACAAATCTTCTCCAAGCTGCGAAAACCAGTGCACACTGATATTGTTTTTTTTATTTTTTTTAGTTTAACAGTGTTGGTACGAAAAAAAAAAAATAAAGAAAAAAAAAATAGTAGAAAATAGTAAATTGAAATCTCAAAAAATTTAAATCCTTATTTTTACAATTTCTTTAAGTTTCAAGAAAAAAAAAAAAAAAAGAATTTAGAAATATATATAGAGAAAAAAGTTTCAAATATATATATATATATATATATACAAGGTAATGTGTACATAACACCCCTATACTATAATATTATTAGCAAATATACCTCCTTGGGCATTTTTGAAAGAAGTAAAAGGGTAAAACGGGTATTACAGTACTAATTTATGATTGAGGTGTATTTTTATACAATTTAAAAAGATTAGGGTGTTATTTGCACACCTTTTCAAATAAGGAGTATAAATAGAGATTTTGATGATTTATATTGATTAACAATTTAACATAATATTTTGTTTTTATTTTGACTGTGTTGCTGATAAACTTGTGAATTGAATTGAATATGTCGTTGTACAGCAAGTCATTCCAATCCCAAAACAAGTGGAATACTTGAAAGAATATAAATCAAGAGTTGAGGTGGCTATAGGAAAGAAAAGAACCAAAAATCTGATGGAGAGGGCTATATTCGTTGTTAGTGCTGGCACAAACGACTTCGTTTTCAATTATTTTGGTACACCATTTCGACGAAAAAGCTACTCGGTCTCAACTTACACTCAGTTTTTGATGCAACACATCCAAAAGTTCTTGCAGGTTTGTTAACTTCTATTGTTCACTGTCATCATCAAACAAATGATAATGCCACATTCTATCAAATTTTTTTGTTCATTTGATCTTGCTTGAATTAATGCTTTAACCATATAATATATATATATATATATATATATGCATGTTATATATATATATATATATATATATATATATGTATATTTATGGTTGAGTGCTACATATGGCATTTGAATTTGTTCTTGTTATATATATATATATATATATATATATATATATAGGGAGCATTTCTCAGGGTTGATCATGGATCGGTCCGGTTTGGGGATAAAGTTCAATCCAATTCGATTTTTAGGGATTGATGAAATTTGAAACCGAATCGATCCGTGAGGATTTTCAATCTGAACCAAATCGATCCGTGAAATAACGGACCGGTTCGGTTTCTACAGATTGGACTTTTCAAACAGCCCTATATGATTACACTTTATAGCCCATTAAAATACGAATTAGGCTTTTCAAACAGCCCAATATGATTACACTTTATGGCTATTAAAATTTCAAATTAGTAATAATTAAAAATGACTAATGACTTTGGTGATTTAGGATTAACTTAAAGCATTAAATAATGAATAAAAAAAAATATAGAAATATAGTTAGTGTATATATATAGTTATATATATATAATATTAATATAGAATTAAGGTCACGGATGGAATCAGTTTGGTTAACGGATCGGATCGGGTTTTCTAGAACCCAATCCATTAATTGAACCGTGAATAACGGATCATTATTTTTTTAAGTCATCACCGAATCATAAGATTTGAAAACTGAATCGAACCACAAGGATCAAATCGGTTTGGACCGAATTGACAAATTGACGATTTTAGTTGCTCACCCCTAGCGCCATTTCTATATGCTTGGAAGTACCAAGCATATAGAAGTCAGTTTGTCATTTAAGTAATATATATATATATATATATATATATATATATATATATAAGAAATGAGTGGATTACAAAAAGAGAAGCTCCCTTGTGTTATTTTGTGTATATATAGGAAAACTACTGCGTCTTTCCCGAGTGAAACTGTAATAGAGCTGCTCGTGTCTTTTGCGATTGAGCTTGTAGGCCGTTGTACTTGGAGAGGAGCCAGAAAATTATGTGAGAAGGAAAATAGTTTAATTTTTTAATAATTTCAGTAGGGACGGCAATGTAATTTTGTAGGTAATATATATCAAAATGAATAAATTAATAGGATATATTACTAAACAAAAAAAAATTGAGTGGACCCAGACTTGTGAATGCCTCCGTATTGTACTCAAATGAGTTTGGAGAGAATTTTTTTATTGTTTTTCTTGAAAAAGTAAGAAAAAAATTTCTTAAAAGTTGATTAAATGTGCACATAATACCCTTATATATTATAAGATTGTTAACACGTACCTTCTTAGACTTTTTTGTGAGAATAAAAGAGCAAAATATGTATTACATCATTACTTTATGTCAGATTTTTGTTTAAAGGGTATTTCTCACCATGTTATAAGAATGAAGGATAATTAACACACTTATTCAAATATGGAGTGAGTAAAATTTTATGCACTTGGCCAATTTTAGAACAAGGAGCTATTAAATATCCAAAATGCAGATCTAGATCTTTTTTATATTAAAATTAATTATACCTTACATATATGTTTGTTTTGTTTTTGTTTTTTTTTTTTTTTTTTCATAAAAAATTTAGTAACTTGGAAATTCTTACTTTATTTACTGGATAAGAAAAAAAAGTTGGGAATAATTCAAAATGGAAAATGCTTGGGTCCTGAACATAATAGCTGAGAGGATGAACTTCATTCTTCTAGGGATGAACCCAAGCATTGTTCATTCAAAATTTCTAGTTAAGAACGCCTAGTAAGTTTTTCCAACAAAATATTTATATGAATTTACTATATATATATATATATATATATATATATATATATATATATATATATATGAGTGAAAAATATCATGATTCTAACTAAGTTATGATTTATGGATTTATAGGATTTGACGGAGCAGGGAGCTCGGCAAATCTTGGTCGCCGGATTACCTCCGATGGGTTGCTTGCCTGTAGCCATCACCCTTTATTCCGGAGACGCATTTCATCAACGTCGTTGTGTTGAAACACTATCATCCGTGGCTAGAGATTACAATAATATTCTCCAAAATAAGCTCAAATCCATGCAAAACAACACCACCAACATCCTTTACATCGACATATACAAACCGTTGAGTGACATGATCCAACGGCAGGGCCATTTTGGTAAGTCCAACGATCATTCTATTAATTCCTGCACCAGAGGAAGTTCAAATCGCGACCTTCGATCTGTTTATGACCTTTCTGTAGGTTTTGAAGATGTTAGCAATGGTTGTTGTGGAACCGGGCTTGTTGAAGCATCAATATTATGCAATTCAGAATCAGCTGTTTGCGGTGATGCCTCCAAATATGTTTTCTGGGATTCAGTACACCCAACTCAAAAGACATACGACATCCTCTCTCAGTCTCAGTCCATCCGTTCCGTTATTGATTCCTTCATCCATAACTAGTCTACAATTAAACATATATATACATACATACATATATATATATATATATATCATCACTACATTCAATAATGCCAGTGATTTGTATAGATGGATTGGTTTAAATAAATGAATGTATCAACAAACCTGTTCTTGCTCTGCACCCTGATTTCAATTGAAAAAATTAGCATGGTGGACAATCTTAATCACAAATTATATAATTTTGATATTAATAACGAACAGCACTAGTATAATTTGTAATGTGTAACGCAATATTAAGAGAACCTTTTAGAGCAACTAAACCATTCAGAAACTCAGTAAAGATAACAGAATTTTCAATCACCAATTAACCATAAATAGTTTTAAGAGCTGATATATAAACTTCCTAAGATACATAAGATCCTAATTTCTCCTGAGCTTGGCTGAACTCATTAAGTCCTGTGTGAAGCTTCTCCAGCAGTTGGGTGCAGATCTGAGGCGATGTACAAGGCCCACACATGAGATAAATGACATTACCCAGAGGTCTCATGTAAATACCATCTTGACGGAGATTCTGAATAAGAGAGTTTGCATAGAGTGATCCATACCTGCACAAATTCAGCTCGTTTTGAAACATTACTTGTAAGTTGTAACTGGCAGAACAAAACACGGGCCTCTTCACACAGTGAAGGAGAAATCTCAGCAACTTGAAAAAAAACAAAAGCAAGTTGACTGGGGACGGTACCCTGGGGGTTAAAAAGTTGGTAATATGAAGTTTCTCACTAGTATATTTTGTTTTATGAAATGATATGTTGGCTAGTGCTAAAAAGTAAAAGTCGCATAATGGAATTTATGCCGATGCCATCAAGAGGACAGGTCTCAGCCCTTACAATAGATTACTAATGCAGGTATGCTGTGTCTACAACTAGAATAATATCCAGATGCTGTTCGTGATAACGTCAAAGGGCTTGCAGCCCAATGGAATAACCTCCCCATTCTCAAAGAAGAGGTTTGAGCCCGGGTGTGAGTAAAAGTGTGTGTGTGTGTGTGTTTGCTTTACTGATCAAAATATATATCTATATATATATATATGCAGCTGCAAATTATCCAGCCTTTCTGACCTCCATCAGTGTCTTTGTGATATCAAAATCAATAGTTGCCATCATTTCTAGCTAATCATAAAGTTCCATGGCCAGACATTTTTTGGCTGCTTGTTTCATTTTTTGTATTATCCAGTTGACATATATTTTAGGTTAAATTCAAACTAATTATGGATATATATACTGTTTGTATGATCCAGAACAAAGTGAACATGAACCACATTTCAATGAGATGCTCAAATTTTCTTTCCTGAAAACAACCTTTACAACAAGCCCTGGCTTATTATCTAAAGATATTGTTGCAAACGACTAGAACACATAATATAATAGCACGAAGAAATAGAAGCTCTGTCTTTCCCGCATACAAGCTTATATTAGACCTTCTGCTTATTACTAGCAACATTGTCAAACCCAAGGTGCTAGCGAGTAACCCATTGACAATACTTTCCACAACTTAAGATTAAAAATGATACACAACATAAGATTAAAGAAATGATAGAAGTATAGTAATGAGATTATACCCAGCATTGCAGCCTTCTGCTTGGAGTTCTAGGGCACAAAGAGTTCCTAATGAGACCACTCTTTGAACTACTGGAAGTGATGAGATCTGCTGCACTAGTTCCATATTCCATAGCTGCAGGCATCCAAAAGTAAAATCCTTTTTATTCATTCCTAAGCACAAAAGGTTATTTGCAGGATGCACAAACAGATCATCTTTTAAATGTCTAACATCCAGACATTACACAAGATCAAGACCTGGGATATTAACTTATAATACATACAAGTAGGCGAAGCACTAGCGATACACCAGACAAGGTAGAAATATAAAATAGAGAGGGGGGAAAAAACAAGAAAAAAAAAAACCACAGAAAAAGTGTTTCCACCTACCTCCCTAAGCAACATTTCTTCAGAAATTAAATTAAGGTTTGTTTGAGGGTCCTTAAACCATTTGATGGATTTAACAGCAGCTGCACACCCCATAGCATGGGCAGTGTAGGAATGTCCATGTAAAAGGGCCTTGAGCTGAAACCAGAATAAAAGTAGTTAAGCGTTTTACTCGTACAATTAAGACAATGTGTTTCTTAGCACAAACATGTGTAAATTCAGGCAGGAAACTAGGCATGATCATGAAAAACTCTTTAAGCTAAAGAATTAGTTTTTCACAATTGTCAGTAGACAAGAACATAGGCGTTGAAAAAAAAAACCAACACAGTGACTGATACGACCTCCTTTCTTTGACATGACGACATGGTCAGTCAGATAAACACACTTTAAAGTATTTCAACATATTTTATTGAGCCCAAATATGTTTCTATTTATGTTTCTGATGGGACAGATAATTAACAAGATTTCTAGAGAAAAAATAATAACGCTAGGACAACCAATTCACACAATGATCACAGAGGAATTGAATGGAGGCAACCTGGGAAATTAATATAGTGGGGAAATTATGCACAAGATGAGAAGTATAGAGGTTGATCTAAAATTCAATTCTAGGTAAGACTAAGGCTTAAGAATAGGGAAGATTTTGAGGTTAATTCAGAGTTGAGCTCATCAGATCTAAGAAATTGAAAAACAAGAAGAATATGATGATCATGATGACAATGTAAACGACAATTTGAATAAGAATATGATAATCATGATGACAATGTAAACAACAATCTGGACAGGATAGTAGCATCTATAGAGGAAAATGCAAAATAAATCTATAGTAGCATTACTAATTATTTTAATCGAATTTGAACCCTGTTACAATCCAACTCTCATTTCATGAAATAACAAATTGTCATTGCTGAATTCCTGTCAGAGTAATTTCTAAAAATAATTTTTACACATAAAATTAAAATTCTTTCCTCTCAAAATGCCGTAGAAAATGTGTTGCGGATAACAGTAAACAATCGTAACTAAAGTATAAGGATCACAATGAATAAGTACTGCAGCTTGGAGTTCGAGATTTGAGATACAAGCATAAAGGAACAGCAAAATAATTTTTTAGAGAACAATCAAATGATAATGTATGACTAGGAGAGGGTGATGGTAATTGGATTATGAGAAACCAGCAACATTAATGGAACTGTCCCTATTCTCTCTTTGACAAAAAAATGCTATTAAGTATGAAAATCAGTGTTTCTTCAGTTTCAGATGCGCTAACATTATTTTTAGAGTTCTAATAGGCTATTCTACACTGCAATGTCACAAAATCTTTCTGTTTAAAAAGATGTGCCATTTTTCACAGTTCTATTTCTTTTGTTCACCATTAGCTGACATAAATATTGCTATGAATACTGGGGTTTCCGGCCTTCTGGAGTGAGGTCTCAAATCCTTGGGAACTGCTTCAAGGCCTTAATGGCAAGGAGGGAGCAACTTACTCATAAACAGAACTACAGAAGTATGAGGTATTAGTAGATCTGACCCGACAAGTGGTGGTCCTGGTGAAGGAGGTGCAAAACTTATTAAGAAAGCAACCGGGTAATGGTCATGGCCAGGAAAAATTGACCACTTTCACCCTGAGTATCCACAAAAAGACTTTAGCAAGGGACCTGATGTAGAGGCTTCAATGTCTGCAGAAGTGATAAAAATCCATCCACTAGGAACGATTTGTGCAACAACTAACTGGGACTCCAGTTAGAGATCACAAATATCCTAACCCTAGAAAACAATCAGGTAGGGAATGTTTTAGAGATTGACATCGTGAGAAGGATGTGAAAATTGCTCAATTTTGAGGGGAAAGGACCTCCTGAAATTTTGGTTGGCAGTCCAGATAACTTTTTAGTGTGGACGAACTTCTCTGCAGATTGAAAGGTAGTTTTTTCGAAGGAGCACATTGTGCCTCGTATTGCAAGTAAATATACTTCTACAGTTCTACCTATGCAAACAAAGTCGATAAAGCAAAAATGAAGAAAAGATTGAATGTTTTTAAGGTTACACTCGAAAAAAAAAAAAAAAAAAAAAATTCAGGGAAAAGTCCAAAAGGCAAGAAAACAGAGTACCATGTCAATTTTCACACTTTCCATTTTTAAATTTACTCCTTGAATCGCTATAGATTAAATAAAAGGAGGCAGTCCAGTGCACAACCAATTATTAGCAACCAATGTGGCTGTGCAGGTTATAACATATCCAGTGTTATTAAAGGCTCAAGGCGCACAAAGGCACTAGTAGTCCTTTGGAGCCTAGGTGCACGGCGAGGCGCGCGCTTGAAGTTTTAAGCTACCATATAATATTCACATCTCATAAGTCAAGTCAATAATCTTATTTAATATCAAATATAAAAAAGTAAATCCTTCAACAATATAAGCATTCAAGAACCATAAACAGATTTTGTATTTTTAAGAGGCAAACAGAGCCAAAAAAAAAAAAACTGTTAACAAGAGCCGAAAAAAAAAAGGCGTGGAGACAAAAGAAGTAGATGAAGAGAGAGAAGTAGATGAGAAGAGAGAGAAAGTGTTAAAAGAAGAAAAAGGAGAAAAAATAAAGCCCCCCCCCCCCCCCCCCCAAAACAAAAAAAGACACAGAAGAGAACTACACGAAGAGAGAGAAATTAAACAAAGATGAGAAGAGAGAAGAGAGAAGAGAGAAGAAGAAGAAGAAAAAAGAACTAGCATGGCTTCGTTGTTCGTCTCTGCCACTAGGGCTTCGTCATTGGTCTCATAGTCTCACTCTTTCTATGTTCGGTTGAAACTTAGACTCTTGGGCTTTCTTATTCGTTTATTCTTTTGAACAGAAGTTCCTTCTCTCATACCCTTAGGCTTTCTTATTTGTTTATTAAGTTGCCAAATGTACCCTTTTTGGCCTAAGAAAAAGAATAACCATTTAAAAAAATAATAATAACAGTGAGGCACGCCTGAAATATAGGACGAGGCGCAACCGAGGCGCGCGCCTAGTAAACATCAGTGCGCCTGGGATGACAACAGGCACTAGACCTGTGCCTCAAGCCTAGGCGCGCCTTTAACAACACTGAACATATCAGTATCTATTAACTTTATAAGTTAATTCATAAGTGAGAATAAAGATAAACAACTGCATAAGTTGTATGGCAGCCAACAGTATACTACCAACCGTGAACACCAATATATTGAAGAACCTATTAAATAATTCACAGATTTCAAGTTACATTTCAGAAACATATTCTTACTTTCAAAAGAAAATTCGTAAGGCATGCAAACAGATTACCCCTATCAATGCTTACTGTTCAAGAGGTGCTGTTAAATAATTACTGTCAATCTCTTCTAACATAATGACATAGTCCTGGCTACGGAAAATTATCAGTAATGGTGGCATCCCAATATAACTTAAATCGAATGTGCCTTTCAAGTCAAAGCGACTGACAGTAGTGAATTACCTTTGAATCTCCAACAAATGCATCAAAAACAGCATCTGTTGCCAATGTGGCAGACATGGGTATAATGCCACCAGTCATCAGCTTTGCATAACAGGCTATATCTGGTTGACAGCAAAGTAGATCTGCAGCAGACTGGAAAGACAGATAAACACCCTATGAATTGACTACAAAGATAAAGGTTAAAAAAGAGATGCAACTGAATTACTACGTTCAACCAACCTCTGCTCCCAGACGCCAGAAACCTGTAAAAACCTCATCAAAGATAACTGGAATTTTTCGACTCTGGCATTCTTTAACAAGTACACGTTGGAAAAGCGGATCAATCATTTGCATTCCACCAGAAGCATGTATGACTACAAAAATATCAAAAAATGGGTAATAACGCATCTCTAGGGTATTTATAAGGCACCCCAAGTCAAGTTGCACAATATAAAACTTGCCAAAATATGATATGAAGACTAAGTCTACAATTTAAATACTTGTATGCATGAAGTGTTAAGGTGCAGTCCACTGTGCCTCTGTGATCGAGCCTAAGTGAACTGTGCATACTCCTCTATGACCATGAAAATCTGGAATTCAAGATTCAGCAGACTTCACAAGAAAGTTTATCGACTCAATTTCTTGGAGCAGCTACAACTTTCTCATAGGAACAAAAGAGACACAGGATTAAGGTAGTGGCAATATGAAACATTTGAATAGGGTCAGGTTATTGATGCCAGCCTAGAGAGAGTTCATAATTCCGATAGTATTTGAAGTACCGACAATAAAATCAATCCACTCAAGCATAAAATGTAGTGTGTGATAGGTCTTCCTCATGCATTTACTAGTTGGAGACTAAAACAAAAGCGCAACATTTTGCAGAGATTTATAAGAGGACTGTGAATGCTACAGCCAACTAATAACATGACAAAGGCTATCAATCCCACTACGACTGTTAAGATGCAACTAGAAAGGTTTTCGACGAGAGAGTGTTGACACCCACTTGACAGTCCACAACCAAGTAACATTCTGCAGTAAACCAAAATATGCAAGTAACCAGACAAAAGTCCATGACAGACTAGAAACTCTTGATCTCTCGGTCCTAATTTAATAAAAATTTGGGAAAAGGCTAAAATTGAGGTTAGTATGACAGCTACAAGGATGGAGGTTTCATTGACGGCTATAAGGATGGAGAATTTGAGAAAAGAGAAGAAAAGGCTGACGACAATGATCTTTACTATCAGCACATTGAGTTAATGAAATGCAATGGTGGAGATAAGAGTTTCTTATTGAGAGTTGCCGCTTGCTGTCACTAAGGTGAGAAGATATTAAAGATCGGAAAACAAAAGATGCAATTTCATCAATTGACATGCTTAAAGAGTTGTCTCAGTGGTTTATTAAGATCTTAAGTTCTAAATTAATATTTAGCCCTTATTGTTGGTCCCATCTTCAATCAGTTGAAGATCAAGGGAATCTCGAGTTGCCAATATGTGGACAGATGGATTAGGAAGAAGATAAAGGGTATAAGAAAGGCTCCAATTCCTAAATTTGACAAAGAATTTCCTTCAAGTGGAGGGGGGCTGAAATAGAAGAAATGATAAAGGTGCACCTAAAAAATAGGCCATTTTAAACTAGGGTGTACACAGCCATCCCAAGAGTTGCAATTGAGTTGCAGCGGACTCTCTCAACATACTATTGTGTGCACATGCTGCAGCTGACTTTTGCTAGCCTGGGTCACATATTAGTAATATATTTGTAATCCACCCATGGAATTAGCACTTGATCATTAATAGAACTTCCAAAGAGAAATTTCTCCTTTCTTTTTGTGCATGTCAAACGCATAAGGGATATGTTCAGCCTATCTCTATGTCAGAGCTCAATGATTCAAAACTGGAGATTTTTGTCTATTATTTGTCCGGTTAAAAAAAAAAAAAAAAAAAAACATAGGACTAACCCCTAGATAAGAAATCGAGTAACAAGAAACTCTAAAATGATGGCTTAAAAACTCCCAATCCTCCTCTGCATATGTGCCACTAGTATGTCACAAATCAGATAGAGCATGGAGGTGAAACATGAGAACTCATCATTCATTTTTTCAAATTTAGAAGTTGGAATTGAGAAAACGGATGAATTGAAATATATATGAGAAAATCTTCATAAATAAATTACTGAAGAATTTTTCTGACATATTAATCAAATGTACACTACATATTCACATAAAACAAAATGATTCCAAAATTTTAAAAGAATAAATAAAGCTTGACCAGATCAATCGTAATAACAAATACATAAGATCATAATCTTGCCTGGTTCTATAATCAATGCTCCAACATGAGTGAACCCTCTTGACCGGGAATGTAGCAATAACTCTTGTGTTATATGTAAGGAATAACTATCAGCAAGACTTGAATCGTTCCTGCTCTTACAGAAAACTTCATCACGCAAGTAGAAGGCTGCTAGAGAAGGCTACCTGTTAATAAATTTCAAAGATAATTACCTAACAATGAGAATATCAGTAGAGAAGAGGTTAAACATGCTTTACTCACACATATCTTCTGCTTTCAGTTTTTCAAATTGCATCGTTTCAGGTAGGGAAAGCTTCCAAATGCCATTGCACATAAAAACTGTTGGGGGATCAAGAAAAATACCTCTTCCCGTGTACCTGCAATACCTCATAGATTCAAAATTTAAAACATCACAACTAAGCTGTTCTCCTTGTTCTTCAATTAGATCATGGACCTAGCTAGTCTTGGAATATAAATGCAACTAGATGAAATTTTACTTCCATCAAGAACTTAACTCATGTTTAAGAATAGAAGTAAATACCCAGAAAGGTCAAATGTGTTGCAGCCTGAATGATTTTTTATTTATCAAAACATACAAGTTGTTATGAAAACAAAAATTACTATAGGAAAATGCACATTAGCATACTATTGAATTCAAGAAGCTTTCTGCAAAACTAAATCAAAGCTGTAAAAATAATAACTTATACCTAACAACTTTACAGATTCATCCTGCCTACGTTCCAAGGCCACAAATACGAGGCAAAATCAATGTGCTACGTGCATACCACAGAGGAAATTCCAAAGCAACAGGATATGCTCCAGCAATGACACGTGATCAAATATATAAACACATGATAATAGAATACATGATTAAATGTCCATGTCTAGTAGAATCCTATTATAGATGAAAACTTAATTAGAACTTTGATGAAGATTCTCACAGAAGCTTTTTCTTTATAATTGTACTCGTTACATTTGAAAAATGTTTTACATATCTATGCATGTCAAAATCTACATGTGAAACATGACCGTATCTAAGCTTGTTGATTGCTGTCAATGTCCCAGATATACTTGGACAAAAAATAGACCTCCATGTATATAGTAGTGTCCTCTTGTAATTAAAACCTCATTTAGAACTGGATGAAGATCCTTACATGCATTGTTATTAAAGGCCCAAGGCGCTAGAGGTCCTTTGGAGCCTAGGCGCGAGGTGCACGGCGAGGCGCGCACCTGAGTGAAGTGAGGCGCACAATTGAAAATTTAAACTACCATAATAACATTCATATCTCACAAGTCATATCAATATTCTAAAAATTAATATCAAATATAAAAAAGTAAATCCATCAACTATACAAGCATTCAACAACCATAAAACAGTAAATCCATCAACTATACAAGCATCCAACAACCATAAAATAGAGTACAAATTTGTTTTCTTGAAAGGCAAAGCAACATGTGTTTTTTGAATGGCAAAACAAAGCACAAAAAGAAATAAATATGTTAACAAAAAAAAAAAAAAAGACAGATGAGAGAACTAGACGAAGAGAGAGATGTAAACAAAGCTAAAAAGAGAGGAGAAGAGAGAAAAAAGAAAAGAAAGAACTGACGTGGCTTCGTCGTTCATCTCTGCAACTAGGGCTTCATCTTCGTCTCACAATCTCATTCTATCATTGTTCGGTTAACACTTTGACTCTTGGGCTTTCTTATTTTTTTATTTTTTGAACAAAAGTTCCTTCTATCGTATGATTAAGCTTTCTTTTTTGTTTCTTAAGTTGCCAAAAGTACCCTTTTTGGCTTAAGAAATAGAACAATCGTATTTTTTTAAACAAATATCAGTGAGGCGCGCCTAGGCGCACCTCACAAATAGGACGAGGCGCAACTGAGGCGCGCGCCTAATAAACATCAGTGAGCCTGGGATGACAATAGGCGCTAAACCTGAGCCTCGAGTCTAGGCGCGCCTTTAACAACACTGCTTACATGTAGCATTTTCTTTACAATTCTACTTTTTATATTTCAAAAGAAAAAAGAAAATTTACATACCAAAACAATATTGCAGTTGGGGGGTGATTGTGATGACTTTTGTGGGTGGGTGCGAGACACTGGACGAGCTACCAAGATGACAGGCTACAGGGTGTTATGATCCCACATCGCCTGGGGAAGGTGAAGTGCTATATGTAAGGTTCAACACCCTTCTATGATACATCGTGCTTTAAAGCCGTGATGGTCGTGAACCCATCAGAACTCCAAACTTAAGCATGTTTACTATGGAGTAGTACTGGGATAGGTGACCTCCTCGGAAGTCTTTGGTCCGGGGGAGCCAAAAGTAAACAATATTGTGTCTGGATAGGGTGAGAGTTGTTACAGAAAGATGAAAGATGACTGAATCCCAGCACAAAGACCCATTGTCAGTGTCCCAGAAGTATATGACACAAACATACGTATGAATACTACGTGTATCTGAACAAGAGCTTTATGAATTAGCATGCCAATATTCAAATTAATTATCGAGCAACAAACAATTCAAAAAGATATTTGTCAAGGTTTTGACAACTTTTAGAACTAGATCATAAAGGAACAGCAAGAGCGACAAAGCATCCATTTATAAGAGCCAAGATCTCATTAGGTTGAGTGGCTCAAGAGTTTATCCAAAATATAACAATGCAATACCACTTTGGTAGTATACTTATACATGCACATAAGTTATATCATTTGGATTTTTCTTACATGTGCAATTATTTATTTCAGAAAAACTAGTGCATTTTTCTTGTTATATCTTAAAGTGACCATATTTCTGCAACTAAATGTGTAAAAGATTAGAAATGAATCACTACATGATCCAGCCTATTTCCATTATTCAAAAAAGGAAAGTGTCGACGTTCACACATAGAACACAATTTGGACATTAGAAAACCAAGTGCAAGAGTTTGTAACATTATAGCACTTAGCAACTTTTCATACAAACAGCTATTCCATGCACCTAAAAGGTTGCTGGTTCATGTTTGACTAAGTTAGCCCACAGAAAATTCGAAGAACCCAAAAGGTTTGAATAGAAAAAGTTCATTTACATCACCCAAGAAAGAAAGAAAAATAAAATGAAAATCGGCAATCTCAATACTCACTTTGATCATTTGAACACTGAAAAAAGATAACACAGTTGTGAAATGTGATGCAAGACCTCATATTTTAAAAGTTCTTTGAATTACTGGATTTAAGCATAGAAAAGACTAATTATTATTAATTGATTCTTTCTTTATAATTATGATAGGATGTTTTCTCAGTTCAGTTGCAAACAAGTCACTCTGCATAATACACCAGGTGCTGTCACAATAGTTGCCACTGTGCCATTCCTTCTTTTTCTTCTTCTCTTCATTTGTGTATTTATTTGTTTTGAAAGTAAAGCTCCGCAAGTGGGAGCACTGTTTTTTGCACAGGGGGCATAAAAAAGATATATAAAAGAATCGAGAGCAAAATCTGATCTCCCCTCAAAACACTAAGGCCTAGTTTGGTATGCAGGAATGGAATGCCCATTCCAACCATTCTTTGTTTGGTATGAAATATAAAGTGGGAATGACCATTATTGTCTTGGAATGAAAATCCATTCCACATCTAAATTGATGGAATGAAAATCCATTCCACAGTTATTTCATTCCCATGTAAAACTTTAAAAAATCAAATTTCTAACCAACCGCCACCGCCTTCCGCCCATCCCCACCGCCCTCCGCCACCACTGCCGCCTCCACCGCTGTTGCCTTCCACCACCACCACTTCGAATTGGGATTATCATTCATTCCTACATCATTTCATATTTGCAACCAAACAATAGAATGAGTATGATCATTCCATTCCCAGCATCATTCCATTTCATTCCTGCGTACCAAACTAGGCCTAAAAGGAGTCAATCAACCATGGCAAGACTCTCAGTTTAGAATAATATAATTCTCATAAGGATATGCTTCAATCTATGAACCAAAGGGCTCCAATTCCATCAAAGTTCTCTAGTTCCTTTCCCCTGATTGTCATTTAATATTTCACATTGCTTTGGTTGACATATTTCAATCCCACAAAAAGATTCAAAGTTTCCAAAAATCTGCAAATCACAAATTGAGCTGAAATTTAAAACTACAGTTGGAGTTTAGAGGGGAGGGAGGAGGGGGAGGCGGCTTATGAAAATGCGAGGAGAGATGACTGAGAATACACAAAAGTTATATGTGGGGGAATATGCGTCATTAATTCTTACAGCCTTGCATGTCCCAGCAAGTGACATTCTAATGCATCAGCATATCACACATATAATAAGAAAGGGAATATTTTATAGCCCTTCCAAGAATGACTTTAGACCTCAAAAATCCCGTCAAATTTAGCAGTATCTTCACAGATTAAAGTACCTTACAAGGGTCTAAAAATGTTTTACACTTATTTTACGATTGATAATTGTTTTCATTAGTTTTATTGGAATTGCATATATCAAAAGACCACCATGAGAATACAACACATATTTAGGCCTATCATGAAAATAGAAGACATAGAACATGCCCCAAGGAACATTACTCCAGAAGTTAAAGGTCCAAGTGGTGAAATAGAATTTTTTTGTAGGAAACTTTAGTTAAGAAATACCTTACCATGGTTGCTGGAGAAAGCCTGTATAAGATGACGGTGCTTGTGCTTCCATAGCACCCAAAGTATCACCATGATAAGAACCTCTAAGAGCTAGGACCTGAATTAGGTGAAAAATATATCACTATGATTAGCCCCACCTGCGTTTACCAGCCAATCCACCTAACACATGCAAGGTCACATTCTACTAATGTCAACCAGCATTAAAGGATATTATGCTCCATGTTATCCAATCACAACAATAAAAAATGAGGTTCTGGGAGAAGGCCCACAAAAGTGGGCCTTGCTGGCAACAGGTAAACTAGGTACAGGCAATGAAAAGAATAAATGTACTACTTTGATTTTTCATAAAAAATGTGCACACTGTACTTACAATTGTGGAATTCTTTGCATTGTATCTCCACTCTCATAAACAAAGAGAGAATCATGATAAAAAGTACATCACAGAGTGACAAATACACACACACACACACGCACGCACGCACACATATATATATAATGCAGCATAATTTCTAAATTCACATCTGGAATTGTGAAATGAAGTGAAATCAAAATAGTTAAGAAGCCAGTGTACCATATTTCCAAAAGGTGTACTCAATGCACATTTCTCATCTATGAGCCATATTTTTTGTAAAAATATGAAGAATAGAATAATAGGACTGCCCAAAGACACGGGTTCTGCATAATAAACTCACCGAACGAAAGTTCATCCAAATAGAGGATCTGGACCAGAGTCTCTTTTAATATCAGATTCTTGACAATAAATAGAAACGATACTGAGAAAATCATAATCAATTGGTATAAGATCACACCCATGAAGCACAAAACTTCGACAAGCGCATCATATTCTCATAAGATACCAACACTCCTTCGATAATCATGAATAGTGTCTGATGATTCATTAGCATATGCATAATTTAAAAATAATTTTTTTAATCTTGAAAAAATATCTGATACTTCCCAAATTCTTCAAGACATATGCCTGATCTGTCTTAAACATTGAGTTGTGACATTTCTAGTATAATAGTGAAGTATAATGAAAAGAAAAATATAACAAGGGCTATACATATTTAGACTATTTTACAGCAGAAAATTTGAAATATAAAGATGGCAAACCATTTTGAAATTGGTCCATAGTCGAGATGTAGCAACATAACCCTCAGTTTCCTCATATGAAACTCTAATTGTAAGTTAAAAACAATGAGCATATGATAGATCTTAAAATATGATTGTTTGGAACTATATATGTCAATATCGTGACAAACAATTGTATTCTAATTATATATACAAATAGATACATATATATAATGACATGTCCTCATGTATCTATATCCTTTTTTTCCATATCAGTGTGTCCTTATTATTTAATATCCATCCATGTCCATGCTTCATAAGACCACAAAATTTCTAGGCCTCAACTATGCATTAAATCAACTACTAAAGTAAATGTATCATGTTACTTATCAATCGGCCTTGTTGTCACTTTGCTGCTACTACTACTTCACCAGGGCAGGTGGTTGGTGAGTGTAGAAGAGCCAAAAGAAAGGTAGTGAACTCCAAAAAGGACATATTGCATAAGTGGCATCTAGCATAATCAAACTGCTTGTGAGGCAATGCCGAGGCCACATCATTGCCTATATAAGTGGCCCAAAATCTGCACCTGGCCTGGGTGAGCGATGGCAACAAGGTGATTATCTAGATGTACTGATGTACTGAAACACTCAAGTAAATAACTTAATTTGGCAAAAACTCATTAGCAATATAGAAAGGATATCAGTAAGTTAAAAATAAATAAATAAATAAGAACTTCATCATTAAATCATACTTACTAAACAAAATTTGTTAGGGTAATGACTTCAACTAAAAAAATAAGAACTAGCAAATCGTAAAAGTCTAATGACTTCAACTAAAAGAACATGAGCAAGGAATTCAGGATGTGAAGGTTTAAAAAGAACCGACTGGAGGAAATGGACTGGAGAAGATGAACTTTTCTTATCCAAGTCCCCCCTGTAACCTACACCAGAGTCTGGTGAGCCACGACAACAAGGTGATTGTCTAGATGTGCTGAAGAACTTCCAACAGTTGATAACTAGATTTAGAACAAAACTCATTTCGTTGATTTTTTTTTTTTTTTTTTTTTTTTTTTTTTTTTTCAAAAAAAATGTTTTACTTTAAAAAAAATAAAACTTTATCATTGTATTAGAATTGGTAAAATTTTTGAAGTCTAATGACTTCAACTAAAATAATAAGAGATAGGCAATTGTAACAGTCTAACAACTACAAAAAAAGTAATACAAGTGAGCAACTAAAAGCAGTTTTTGATTTCTTTAAGTGACCAACGAAGGCTTGAAAAAGGATTGACTGGAGAAGACAGAACCGTGTAACCAATCTTAAGTTCTTAGGATTGAAGAAGTCTAATTGTAAGCGACCAACGAAGGCTTTAATGAAGAATTAAAGAAACCTGAAGTGCTTTTGAATGTGGTCACTAAAGCAAGGAGGTATGTTTTTCAAAAAAAAAAAAAAAAAAAAAACAAACAAACTTCTCACATTATAAGTGTTAGCATTTATGATACCACGATTTATGGTATAACTTACCATAATAGCCGAGATATGATAGGCCCAAATCATGGGATGTGATTTACCATATTATCTGTGAGATATGATAGCCACAAATCATGTATTTGACTTTATTTACGCATATGTCTATGCATAGAATATGCAATAATTTGATTTAGTTTCTTTTCTTGTAATATGAGCATGTGCTCATTTTATCTATAAATACTAAAGCTGTGAATGGGTAATTGATCTCATTCAAGCCTTTACGCAATTCTCTCTTTTCTCTTCTTTTTATATATTTCTACTTGGTATCAGAGCCAACACCTTTCCACACCTTTCAACAGCCTTGCTACTTGTGCGATAGCTACCTTAGGCTGTTTGTGACATCGTGTGACGTTGCCTACACATGTTTTTCTGTGTTGCTGTTTTGTGATTGAAAACAAGTATTTTTAAGTTTTACAATTTCTTTTTCACTCTTTTAGGGTTGGGTAAATTGGGATAGTTGGTTTCCAATACCTAGAAGGGTTTGGGTAAAAAATATTAGTTTACAAAGAGATTCCGAATATTAAGAAGGAGGCTGTCTGGCTATATGTAAGCGGGCAGCGCTCCTTAAAAAAGGTATGTATTTGGATTTTTCGGGAATGGTCTGAGGAGACATTGTTTATGGTCTGAAGAGACCCTTTGATTTATTAACAGAATTTGTGGTGTTTTTGGAGTTCTTTTTATTGTCGTGTGACAGATTATGGCAGATTCAGGGTCCTCGACTGTTAATTCTCTTCGCTCACGTTCTGTGGGTGGTGGTGTCATTTTTCCCACCAACTCATCAGAAAAACCAGGACTTCAAATCACCACAGTGAAGTTGGATGGTTCCAACTATTTGAATTGGGCACAGTCTGCCAAGATGTTCATTGGTGGTAAAGGCAAAATTGGCTATATTACTGGTTCTGAGAAAGAGCCAGCTGAGTCAGAGAAGGCATATCCACAGTGGTTTGCAGATAACGCTATGGTTATGTCTTGGCTAGTCAATTCGATGCAACCAAACATAGCTATTGGTTATATGTTTATGAAGACTGCTAAGCAGATTTGGGATTCAGTTCAACGCACTTATTTTCAAAGGCAAAATAATGCATGAATTTTCCAGCTGGGGCGAGATATCACCAGAATTTCTTAGGGTGACTTGACAGTTTCAGGTTACATCGCCAAGCTTTGTGCTATTTGGGAGGAGATGTCATATTATGATTCCTTCCACTCTTGAAAGGATCCAGATGATGCAGTTTTATATGCAGGAATTGTGGAGAAGAATCGAGTGTTTCAGTTTCTTGCCGAGTTGAACGACGAGTTTGAGTATGCTCGTGTTCATTTATTGGGCTTATCTTCATTCCCTACTCTTGAGGATGCATATTCCTATGTGTTGTCAGATGAGAGGCGCCGGACTCATCCATCAGGTTTTGCTTCTGTTGATCGTTCTGCTATGGCAGTTCGGATTCCCAACCTTTCAGGAACTTCACCATCCCAGTCAGTTCAGAGCACTACCACCGGTCCTCCTCTGGGACGACAACGTGGACGGTGTGACCATTGCGGCAAAATTAGTCACATCAAATCTCGTTGTTATGCTCTACATGGACGTCCACCGCAACAGAAACAACAGCCTCAATCCTCTGCACATTCTGTTACACAACTAGTCTCGTTGTCAACTCCTGACAACCCTGCCTCTACATCTTCTGCCACAGTTACCTTGACTCAAGCTGATTTGGACAAGTTCAAGCAATTCTTCAACCAAATAGAGGCATCATCTCAGCCAACCTCCACTTATGCCCACTCAGGTACTATTGCGTCTGCACATAGCGTATCTACATATTCAACACCATGGATCATTGATTTTGGTGCTTCAGACAATATGACTGGTATGTCCTCACTCTTCCAATCTTATAGTATCTGCTCTGGCCAACGCAAGGTCCGCATTGCGGATGGCTCTCCATCCTCCATTGCTGGGAAGGGTCACATATCAGTTACTCCTTCATTAACTTTGTCAAATACACTTCATGTTCCAAAGTTGACTACAAATCTTATTTTTGTTAGTAGCGTTACCAAACAATTAAATTGTAGTGTAACGTTCTTTCCCTCTCATTGTATTTTTCAGGATCTGGTGTCGAAACGGACGATTGGCAGTGGGCGTAAAGTGGACGGTTTATACCTGTTGGATGCTCCTTTGTCACCGCAAGCACATTCAGCTTCATTTTCTAATATTGTTTCATCTAATAAAGCCCAGCTTATGCGTTGGCACATGCGTTTAGGACATATTTCTTTTGGTTATTTGAAACATTTATTTCCTTCCTTATTTTGTGACGTGGCAGTGTCAGATTTATCTTGTAAAACATGTCATATGGCTAAACATGTTCGTTCCAATTATCCTACTAGTAGTAATAAATCTGCTTTAACACCTTTTGATCTTGTTCATTCAGATGTGTGGGGTCCTTGCCCAGTTACTTCTAGCCTTGGATTTCGATATTTCGTGTTGTTCATTGATGATCATAGTCGTGTTACTTGGGTTTATCTTATGAAAACCAAAAAATGAGGTATACACTATTTTTTAAAATTTTATGACAATGGTTCAAACTCAATTTGGTCGTACCATTAAAAAATTTCCGATCTGACCAGGGTACAGAGTACACTTATGGGGAGGTACAACGGTTATGTACAGAATTTGGGATTGCGCATTAGCTAGCTAATATTAAAACTCCTCAACAGAATGGTCGTTCTGAGAGAAAGAATCGCCACATCCTTGACTTAGCCAGAGCAATCTGCATTGGCATGAATGTTCCCCAGTCATTTTGGGGAGATGCAGTTCTTACCGCTGTTTACATCATTAATAGGACTCCTTCTAGGATTCTTCACTTTGCAGCCCCACTCTCAATCTTACATCCCAATTCATCTCTATTTTTTATTCCTCCACAAGTCTTCGGGTGTGTGTGCTATGTTCAGCAGTTGGGGCAAACTCGTACAAAGCTTGACCCCAAGGCTTTGAAGTGTGTGTTGTTGGGCTATTCTCACTCTCAAAAAGGTTATAGGTGTTACCATCCTCCCAGTCGTCGGCGGTTTATATCCATGGATGTTTCTTTCTTTGAGCATACACCATACTATAGTGGTTCAGTTGGTTCTTAGAATGAATGGTTCCCATTGAATATAATGGATGATCACCTTCTTCCGTCTTCAACTCCTCTACCATTACTTGTTTCTTCTTCTATAATTCCTCCTCGTGATACCCCTCCAGCAAGGGGAATTGTTCCTTTTTCACAGGTTTATAATCGGAGACAACAGGTACAAGCTTCTACTCCCACGATCGACTGCCCTGTTCCTTCGGCACCAGCTTCGCTTTCTCAAGCTATTGTTTCGCTTGATGATCACCCCATTGCTCTTCGAAAGGATAAACGTTCTTGTACTTACCCTATTTCTAATTTTGTTTCTGATTATACTCTCTCACCCTCCTATCGGAGTTTTCTTGTTTTTGTTGCCTCGGTTCCTGTTCCTTCCAGTGTTGCAGATGCGCTAGCACAACCTCAATGGCGTGATGCTATGACAGAAGAACTACAAGCACTTGAGAAAAATCAGACTTAGGACATGGTCCCGCTTCCTATTGAACGAAAGGCTGTGGGTTGTCGTTGAGTGTTTACAGTCAAGCATAATCCAGATGGGTCAGTTGCTCGTTACAAGGCCCGATTGGTTGCCAAGGGTTATGCTCAGACTTATGGCATAGATTATCAAGAGACTTTTGCCCCTGTTGCCAAGATGAATACCATTCGTGTATTATTTTCCGTTGCCGCAATTCGATCTTGGCCTCTATTTCAGTTAGATGTCAAGAATGCCTTTCTTAATGGTGATTTGCAGGAGGAGGTGTACATAGTTCCTCCTCCGGGCTTTCGTTCTCCTGCTCATTCTGGTATGGTATGTCGTCTTCGTCGTTCTCTATATGGCCTCAAGCAGTCTCCTCGAGCTTGGTCTGATCGCTTTGGCACTGCTATGCTCAAGTTTGGTTTCCATCAAAGTGCAGCTGATCATACCTTGTTTTTACGTCATTCAGGCGGTAAGACAGTTGCTCTCATTGTGTATGTCGATGATATTATTCTTACCGGCGATGATACTACCGGAATTAATGAGGTTAGGAGCTATCTTGACCGTCAGTTTGAGATTAAGGATCTTGGTCCCCTACGATACTTCTTGGGCATTGAGGTGGCTCGCTCCAACACTGGCATTTTCATCTCTCAACGCAAGTATGTTCTTGACTTGCTTTCTGCTTCTGGTCAGCTTGGCGCTCGTCCTGCTAATACTCCGATTGAGTAGAATCATCGGTTGGTTGATTCTGAGGGGGAGTTGTTGTCAGATATTGGTCAGAATCAACGACTTGTGGGGAAGCTCATCTATTTATCCATGACTCGACCTGACATTGCTTATGCCGTGAGTGTCGTGAGTCAATTCATGTACTCTCCTCGTGCCCCACACCTTGATGCAGCTATTCGGATTCTTCGCTACTTAAAAGGGTGTCCAGGCCGTGGTATTTTGTTTGCTAATCATGGTCACTTACGCGTTGAGGCTTGGACAGATGCTGATTATGCAGGATCAATTTCAGATAGGAGGTCTACTTCAGGTTATTGTACCACTATTGGTGGTAACTTGGTTACTTGGCGCAATAAGAAGAAGGATGTTGTCTCTCGATCTAGTGCAGAGGCAGAGTATAGGGCTATGGCTCTTGGGGTAGGTGAGTTGCTTTGGCTGAAAACCTTGATGACAGACTTGTGCCTTCCAATGTCGCTTCCATTCTCACTCTACTGCGACAAGAAGTCTGCCATTAGCATAGCAGCAAATCCCGTTCAGCGTGATAGGACTAAGCATATAGAGGTGGACCGTCACTTCACTCGAGAGAAGATCATCTCTAGTCAAATTTGCACTTCATTTGTCACAAGCTCTCAGCAGCTTGCAGACATTCTTACAAAGGGCGTCAGCAAGATTGTGTTTGAGAATGCATTGTCCAAATTGGGCGTTTCAGATATCCACGCACCAACTTGAGGGGGAGTGTTAGTTTTTATGATACCACGATTTATGGTATAACTTACCATAATAGCCGAGATATGATAGGCCCAAATCATGGGATGTGATTTACCATATTATCTGTGAGATATGATAGCCACAAATTATGTATTTGACTTTATTTACGCATATGTCTAAGCATAGAATATGCAATGATTTGATTTAGTTTCCTTTCTTGTAATATGAGCATGTGCTCATTTTATCTATAAATACTAGAGCTGTGAATGGGTAATTGATCTCATTCAAGCCTTTACACAATTCTCTCTTTTCTCTTCTTTTTATATATTTCTACTATAAGCAAGCACATTTTACCACAGAACATGTATGATTGTGAATGAGAACATGTATTCATCGATGCTCACCTTGAGCTCAACACATTTTTCATCTGTTTTGGAATGCAGAAGATCTGCAAGAATTCCATGATCAAACAAGAATTTGCGAAATGCCATCTTGAGGGCAATTTCAATAGCTGTAGATCCATTATCGGAAAAGAATGTCCGAGAAGCCCATCCTGCAAGGAAACAAAATGTTTTGAGGTACCTTTATCAATAAGACTTAATAGTAATCAATATCAGAAATGTAGCGCTGTTATAAGCAGCACTTATGCATAGATCAAGTTCAAGGAATTTGAGAGGGAAGAGACGGAGACAAAGAGAAATAAGATTTGGATATTATATATTTGATACTATTCTTTAAGTGCCAATATGGATAACAATATATATGTACAATTAACATTGTGAGAACTCTGCCTGTCTCACGTAGTGTCTTGTCCTTACAGCTAGTCCCAACTCTGGAAAAACGATAAGGGTTGTGTTAGACAGCTGACAGCCAGTGAAACATGTTTGTCGGGCCCTATAAAAATTAAGTCTGAAATATTCCGATAAGTATTTGAATGTTCCCTGAAACAACATGTTGCATAAACTCTCAGGTGCTTGGAGACATGGAAGGAGTGATTCACTAACACCCAGATGCAGTGAAAAGTGGGTTAGGGTTCCTGCACTACCTTGTACGAGAGCGGGTAAAGAAGTTTGCTTAGGATATTAGAGCATACAGATGAATTAATTAAAGGAATATTAGAGGAGAAAATTCAATTATAGCAAAAGTCGTGTAGGAAAAGGCTTTGGAGGTATGAAATGTGCATGTTGAGCAAAGATTTGGAGATAGTAATGACGCAAGGAATGCTGTTCTAAACTTCAGTGTGACTGAGTATCACATGATCTTATGATAGCATAAATTACCTACTTTAATAAGAGAGATAAACATTTAATAAATTACAAGTGGAATTAAAAAAAAAATCAAATTAATAATTTCTAACTAAAAGAGTAAATCATCTAACATACAGAAAAAGGTTTTTCTGAGAGAAAGCTTATTCTGAGAGAAAGCTTATCATTGCAACAAAGGTTGACAAGTTTAGATGTATGTACTAAAGGACAATCAAGAAAACAGAAAAGGAGAATAAATGTAAAAATAACTGGGTAGTGAATTTTAAACGAATTTTTTTTTTTAAGAATAATAGCAAAAGAAGAAACATAGAATTAAGAAGATGAAATGTAATGAAGGATATGATAACCTGGTGTACTAATAGAATATCAAAAAGATCATTGATTGAATAATCAAAAAAGAGGATGAACTCTATCTGACGGTGGGACAAGAATGTCCGGACTTAGTAAAGTAAAAAAAAAAAAAAAAAAAGGAATGATATAAAAGATGGCCAAAAAACACTTAAATATATTTTTTTTCCAGAAAATACAAGTATACAAACAAGGAAATTATAAAGGTAATAAAAGACACTAAGACCATATTGCAATCTTTATTCTAAACTAGATATAAAGGATGGGTAAGACCATATTGCAATCTTTATTCTAAACTAGATATAAAGGATGGGTAAAAGAATATATACATACTACGTTAAGAAAGAGGGAAATTAGATAGAGTTGAGTTGAATTGAGTTGAGTATTAGCCATCGTCGTCCATTTCTCCACTTCTCTATAAATAATTCTTTTATCAGTAGTTCACAACCTACGGATTACTTCAAGAAGAGAAAAAAGAATAATCACTTTCAGAGAAGTAGCTTCTCAATTCTACAAATTAACAAAAATTGCAACTAATTTTTCTTTATATTTGTCAACAATATAGGAAACAAACTGCCAATGGAGCAAATAACCTTAGTTAGATTCACGAGTTATTCAATCATGCCATGTCTTCATTATGTAATGTATCAAGTGATACTTGAGACTACACACCAGTAATTAATTTTTTTATTTAAGTTGGGTACTCAAATAAAAAATCCATATTGATTCATGATGATACTAACAAATTGGGAGATAAATCTTAGCAAAACCAATTTATTACACCAAGCCAAAGCAAAGAAGTGATATTTAATTGACTTAAATTTCCCCAAATGAACCAAGAGCATATTGTAAATTTCTAACATGATTTAAAGTGCATGTCCTTGGAAGAATTTCAATCATAATAAACAGATCAAACACGGGAGAGAGAGAGAGAGAGAGTATGACATGGAAGGTAAAATGCAGGTAATCATTATTTAGTATTTACAATATTCTTGAATTAGCAATCAAGCGAAATTTAAGTAAACAAAGAACGAACCTAAAAGAAATAGAGGTGAAGCTCTTCACAAAACACAAGAAGATAAGAAATTCCTAACTCATGGATTCTACACTTATCATCTGCAATATTCTTGGCAAATAGTGTGTAACAGGTGACCAAACATTGAAATCATTTATCTAGAGAGATAACTTTAACAAACTAAAATTTATTTACATTTTGGAAAAGAACAATCCCAAAAATCTTCCTCATGGAAACTAAAAGACAGAATGAAAAACTAACTTACCTTTCCCAACACCATCAAGCAACAGTTCTGCACATTCTAAAGCTGGCTCGTAAACATTCTCAGGAAACATTACATGCCCAAATCTTGCAGCAGTATAACCCATATCTCTTGCTAGCTCAATCTGAAACCCAGCTAAACACAACCACAGTAAACAAAACCTTGCAGACATTTTCAGAAGCAAATAGCAACAATGACTTTAATCTCCTCTACCTCATTTTCATATGTAGTCTCCCTTTAATAGTATAACTGAAAGTGGAACCTACAAAAATCCACTTCAAATTCTACTTCCTTCTGTAAGAGAATTGTATAAATTCCTGATCTGAGTGGAGAAATTTGGAGTCAATTTTCTCAAGGAACGTTACAAACTTTATCTAGGAATAGAAAGCCAATAACTGAGAGGTTCTGACTTGGAATTGATGATGATGCCATTGCCCCTATTATTATTTTATAATTATTATTATTATTTTGGCTTTAGATAGGCATTTCTCTATTGTTATATTAAAATTAACAACAAAAAGGCCATTTAAATGTAGCAAATTAATTCTCTTTCCAATTATCTATCTGGTCCCATGATGGATTATGATTGAAACCATACATTTCATGCTATATACAAGAATCTCAAAGAATGGAGGTGCAACAAGAAGTGCTCTACGGTATAAAAAAAAATTGAAGTACAAACTAAAACGATTTCCCTGCATACAGCAGGGGAAGTGTTCTTAGAGTATTTAGTAATTGTGCTTCCCTGCATACAGCAGTGGATGTGTTCTTAGAGTCTCTCTCTCTCTCTCTCTCTCTCTCTCTCTCTCCACGCACACACAAGTAAAAGAGGGGAAATTGTGCAGAGTCTAGAGTTTCCGTAAAACCTCTTGTATAATAGAATACGTACTGTTATCAACACAAAAGAAATAATAAAAGAAATGTGAACATAACTGGTCTTGCCAGACTCATGCAATTGAATATAAAAGATATCTCAGGAAAGATACCAATAAAAGATTATTCTTTTGACCAGATATAATCATAAAGAGAGCTCTGTGGTTGCAAGAATAAATACGAAGTGCCTGGAGGTCAAATGAAGACCTGTAAAGTAGCATCAGGTCCCTGCGTCCACCAACTAGCACAGGCATCAAATTGTTGAGTCATGAGATCATGATTCTTGACCTATTTTTGGAAAGGAAAACACAATATTAGCTTGGGATCTGACAGAAATTATGCTGTGTAGCAATATTTAAGACCTTGCAAGAAGGCATAAAATTACAAAAAATATTACACATTATGGCTAAAAAAACAGCAGTCAATTGAACCTTCATTTTTTTTTTTTTGGTTAACCAAAAATAATCTAAAATATCCTACTGCAAACAGACAAAAAGTATTTACCAATTAAAAATACAAACTTGTATTGCAACCCAAACATGTTACAACACGAACCTTGTGAATGGCAAAGTGCTCGCCACAACGTGAATCTATTACCATAACCTTTTCTTCAGGTACAAGTGTGTGCTGAGTAAATGGCCACCAGAAAATATCTCTTGCCTTCTTTGGCATATCATGTAATCTCTTTATTCTTTCTACAAATGCTGATAGCATTATTTCCTTAAGAGAACTAAAAACATTCTGAGATTCATCAAACCATTTCATCAGGTTGTCTGACATATCTTGTGGAACAGGAGGAAGCACAAGAATAGGAACCCTAAAAAGAATCAATGACAATAATGCTCCAATTATCAAAGATGAAAATTTAAAAAAAAAAAAAAATGTACCAATTGCATAAGAGAGACAGATATGAAATACAACATAATATGCTCAACAAATGGTAGTAAAACCATATTTGTACTTCTTAAATATAATCAAGAAAGAACAGAGTACAAATATATAGAGAGATGAAATAGTTACCTATTCCGTAGATAAGACAACAATGGCATCTCATTTACAAGACCACGATCTTCAAAAACAATAGCAACTACGTCATATCCTCGTAATTTTAAACTTTCATAAGCTGAAATAGTTCCTGAAATACCACCTAGCCGTCCATCCCCAACGAGAATAGCAGGTAACCGGAAAGGCCTGCTAACATGTGTAAGTAAGACCTAAATTGAATGAAAATAAAAAAAAAATAAAAGCATAGTTCTATAACATGCATAGCATAAATCACAATTCATACGCCAATTGAATAGGGGGGAAAAACCAAAAAGTTATAAAGGTCTATTAAGTGTAGATCACATGGTTAATCCTCACATTAAGTGTCTATTAAGTCAACTCACCAAACAATAAGGGGATAGATGGATTCAGAAACCTTCTCTCTCTCTCTAAAAGAGGGTTAGAGTTCTAATATGAAGAGAATTCCAAAGCTCGCTTTCAATGAATTTTTTGCCAAGACTAATCCAATTAGCCTCAAAGTAAATCTGCCTTTTCAACATTATGCCATGCTTAGAGTCATTGCCAAATCTTATACATACATAACCATAAAAAGTAAAAGCAACAACATACCAATCAAATACTGGTTACTAGTTCAAATTGTCCAAAAGACGGTGAAACGGCCAAAATAACCCGGATCAATCCAGAAGAAACAAAACATGCACTGAGGCACTCCTTTTTCTTTCTTTTTAACAGAGCAGTATGTTCGGGTCATTCTGGCCGAAACATGACAAAATCAATAACTATGGTCTAGATTGTTGTATTAGAGCAAATATATTACCACTCTAGAGATCTATGCATAGATTGCACGCGTTAATGATATGTAGCTGAAATTTTGTCTTGGGGGACAATAAAGAGGTGGAGTACTACATTCAAGGAAACCAGAGGAATTTCAACACTACTTAAGCCAAGAATGTTATTTAATCATCAAGAAAAATTCAACATGATAACGTAAATATACACGATGATTGATTGTAAAGTTGGTCTTTTACATCTTAATAATTGAATTCCAGGTAACACCAAAAACTACCTAACTTTTCACAGTTAGTACACAAGGTTTTAAAGTGTTACCATACAGAGATCTGTTAAAGTGCCTTGATTTTGTTACAGAGGGTGTGCTTTTCACAACTGCGTTCCGACACTTAACTTATTCTTCAACAATAGATCATGGGCTGGGAATTGAGGGGAAAGAGATCATCAATACATATACCATTTGATCAAGATCTTGTAATATCTTCTTAAAGATTTCAGGAAGCCCAAAATTTTCAATTTTGTAATCAGTTTGCCGAAAATTCAAATGAATAATTCTGAAATTCATATAAATGAGGTGAAAAGAGTTGGACCAATATAAACAACAAAATACATTAGCAAATTGAGTAACCACATACCGGTACAAGTCGCATTGAAGTGAACCCGATGGCCCTGGACTTGCAACACCACCGGCAGTTTCAATCACACTCAGAACACTCACCTTCTGATCCTCTCCACCCTCACCTTCAACGCCAATCCCCAAACAACGTTTCAATGTATCCAACAACACTGAATCACTCACCATGGCCCCTTCCCTTTCTGCTGCCAAATGAGGCGAAACCGGCTCTCTCCACCCATACATTGTCTTACAAATCAATTCCAAAACCACTGCAGCCTCCTCCTCACCACCCTCACTCTGTAGCTTTCTCTCTTCATACAACCCCAAATCCCTGAACCCACTTTCCCATTTTCCACCCTCTTCGGTCTGGAGACTCTCGACACCATACCCAGCACCTAATGTGGCTTTTGAAGCTGGCGTTGACGCTTTGAGGGTTTGATTCGAAGCAAAAACGGTAAATGGGGGACGCCGGTGAAGAAAGATTTCGGAGAATTTACGGTAGACGAAGTAGGAATCGGAATCGGAAGGGAAGCCGGTCTGGACTGGCTTGAGGTAGATGAATTTGGTGATGGGGGTTGAGGAGAGAGAAAGAGGAGAGAGAATGGAGGCGGCAAGGCCGGCGGAAACAAGGGTTTTGCCGACGCCGGTGTTGGAGCCCCATATAGTGTAAATGGGGTGAGAGAGTGTGTATTCAATTGGTGATGATTGGGTTGAGAGTAGTCTGCGGAGGTGGATAGAAAATGGTTTGGAGAAGAAGCGGATGTGAGTAGAAGTGAAGATAGCAGAAATTGGCAACATTGTGCATATAAACCTAGGTCTGTGTGGGGTTTTGGGTGTCTGTTGTAACTTGTAATAGCCTTCTATCCTTTCAATTTGGTTGCAGCTCTAGCGGTGATGAAACGTTCATCACCTGGCTTTCGGGTAGTTCACGGTTCTGCACCACTGAGGCCTCCCGACGAGAAGGGCCGATAACTTTATGAATCTATTTTATTTCTTTTTTTGTTTTAATCACATTTTAAACTATTTTTTTTAACGGTCCGTTAATATCTGTTGACTACTGAGTCGACTGGACAAGGACATGGAAATGAAATGAAAATGGAAAGGTTACAAAAAAAATAAAATAAAAAAATGGACTGATACCCAATTTATAACAGTTGAAATTACACACAAGGTTGACCGTTAACGTGCTTAAATTCCATCTTCTTTCCTGATCAGGTCTTCTTTCATTCTAGTCCCATTGTCATTGGCTTAAAGATTTAGCGCAGCGACACGGCCCGTGCGGCATTAAAGCATTTCTTCAATTCGTGCAAGCGCCCTAACCAGCCACCACAACCTGCCCTTCCAAGGATATATGTTCATTGGTTTCGCCCTGCTTTGACCTCGTCAGAAGAATGGCTCCAGCTCCCGACCAATTTGTACACGGATGGCCAACTCCCTTTTTCATAGTCAAGTCCACGACTAGCGACATGTTTTTCGAACTGAACCGAGTCGACTTGCCTGAAATTTGAAAAAGTATCGTCTTATGGTCCCGCACACCCCTTCCTTGAAAACTATTCCCGGTCAATCTATACTCTTTGCCAACCAACATGCGTGTCTTTCATACTCTAAGCGTCTTATGAATTACTTCATGACACAAGGCACCCTTGCATTATATATGATTGGATATTTGAAAATCAAAATACAGGCTTCAAACGAGAAATATACCTCTAACCGTCTTAGGAATCACTTCGTGACTTCCATTAAATATGATTGGATATTCAAAAATCAAAATACAGGCGTCAAACGAGAAATGCACCTCCTCTGATGTTCTCCAATTATCCAAACGTTTGTGTCCTGTGCAATAGTAGGCCCGAGTCTCATGACCATCTGTTTACATGTGGCAACCATGTTAGGCCTAAACAATTTGGTGGGGAGAATTTGTCCAGTGGGCTTTATTGTTATGTTTCTTTGTTTAGCTTGTGCCTTGTTGGGCTCTTGGTGCTACGCTCGCTGTGCTGGTCCTAACCTTTTTCTGACGTTTGTTGTCTCTTCCATAGCTCTTACTTAATCGAAATTCATTTACCGGAAAATATAATATACACATAAATAGTCACGTGCTCTTGCAAGAAAATGCATGTACGATATGAAAATTATGAGCCATAGCTTGCAAAGTTGACAATATCCAGTATATTATTTGTAAAATATTAATTTGTGCCCTACATAGAAATTTATTTTTGTTTCTAAAATACTTCTTAGTGTGAGCCTGAATTTTTTTTTGTACATATAGAGATATAATTTGTAGAGTACTACGGGTGGGACTTGGGTGAGTGGGTGGGCCAAGGGTTAGCCCACACCAAACCCAATGTTCTAGCACCTTTGCCCGCGTCAAACCCAAGTTTTAAAAAACCTATCACATTTCATCCCACACCATACCGCAAAGGTTTTATGAATTTTTTCAGTTTCTCAAGTCATCCCAAATTTTTGTACCCTACTAATAAATAAATATTAAAAAATAAGTAAAATGTTATGTTCACTTCACTAAATAGTGTAACAAAAATCAACTAAACTATGCACAATATAAGCTTATAGCAATAATATATTCCCATGTGATAAATCCATGATTGATGATATTATAAATAATTTAATATTAAATATAAAAATTATAAATTATCCTTATATTTTGAATTTTTTAGGTTTTTTGGGTTACTAAATTCTTTATCCAAAATTTCGTCCAAATAAATTAAGGTTCTAAAATTTAAATCCAGTCTCATCTTACCATCTCGAGTACCTTACTCTCATTTAGGCGACAATCGAGTTGCTCAATTAGTCCACCCCTATTTTGTACCCGGAAATTAGATCCTGGAGTCTATGGAATGTTCTACTACTTATCTTTTGTTTTTGGAACATTTTTACTCTTATTTTCTATTTATTTATTTATTATTTTTGCCGTATAATGGGTTTTCGTCTTTTTTTATTATTATTATTTATAAATTAGTGTGTCTTCGTCATTTTTTATTATTATAAATTAGTGGGTCTTCGTCTTCTTCTGCTTGCAGGCACTATAATCTAGTTTGCAGATGGATAATCAGCTCTTGAGCCTTAGAAAGTGATTAGTTTATTCAAATAGTCAAGATGCTATTTCTTTTATTTTAGGCAGAAAAATCTCACTAAATTATATAATAATTACATAATGTCTCTGAACTATCTTTTATTTCCCTCGCTTATTAAAAGTAAGTAAAATACCTACTTTAAGCCATCGGATATCACTCCCAACAGGTTAAGTGATACAATTATTAATTTACTCTTAATTATTAATTTATTATAAAGACATAAAATTCATAAATATGAAATATTAATAGTGTACTCATATTTTTATTTTACTTTCTTCCTCTACATTCTCTCTCTCCACCTCTTCACCCACCCAAACCTATAATCGTCGACCATCCACGTAGCCATGACCCTCGACGCCACCCACCAGCTCGGCTCCATCGCCGGAGTCTTCTCCGTCCTACAACACGCCACCTGCCCGGAGAACATTGTCTTCCACTTCCTCAACAATACTTCCAACATTAGTGATGTTTTTGACTGTAAATTCTCCTTCAGGAATTTCCTGTTCTATGGATAATTTGTAATATTGCTGCTGTGAAGTCTGAGTTTGAAAGCAGAGTAAAAGAAATTAAAGATTTTTTTTTTTTTTTTTTTTTTTTTTTTGGACAGTCGTATTGTATTATGAAGCACTAGTTCTTCTGGGTATTCATAACATGTTTCGAAAACTGCAGTGTGGTTAAAATTATGGGATGTTATAATATTTCGATCAGATTTTTGGCCGAATGGCAACAGCTTTAATTGTTAGCCCTCTCTTCTACTTCCCGTCTTCATATTCATACAAAGAGAATTCAATTTCTCCAACCTTATCTGGTGACATCTCAAACTGCCCTACTGGGATCGATCTCTATCCATTGTCCCCTCCCCTTGGCTTTTCCTTGAAGCTTTCTGTGTGTTCTTTTTGTTGTTTTCCATCTGGGAGAACAAGTCTAATGTTCACTGGAACTTCCCACCCATCACCAGGATCTTTCAACAATTCTAATTAAGCTTTCTTTGTGTTCTTGTTTTTTTCCATCTGCAAGGAATTGGAAGACAATGTTCTCCGGGCAGGTGGCATGTTGGAGGACGGAGAAGACTCCAGCGATGGAGCCGCACAAGTAGATGACGTCGAGGGTCATGACTATGTTGATGGTCGACTATAATGGGTTCGGGTGGGTGAATGAGAAGAGGTAGAGAGAGAATGAAGAGGAAAAAAATAAAATAAAAATATGAAGATATTATTAGTATTTCATATTTATGGATTTTATATTTTTTATAATAAATTAATAATTGTGAGTAAATTAATAATTGTATCACTTAGCCGATTGGAAAGTTGTTTCCGAAGGCCTTAAAGAAAGTATTTTGCTTGTTTTTAATAATTGATGGAAGCAACTTTCTCTCAAAAATAATTTAGGCAGGTATTATGCAACTATTGTATAGCTTATGGGTTTTATTTTATTCTTTTGCCTTTATTTTATTCTGATTGAAATTAATCACCATTTTTAGTCTTGACTTGCCATAAATTATTTTCCTAATAGGAAAGAAAAATAAGGAAATTGCGATTACTTTGAAAGCGACTTTTGGGTTTTTTCCTTGTTGGATTTTACAACAGTGCTATTGAAGTTTCTTACCAAGGTGCATCTGTCTCCATCTCGGACTTGAGGATCAGAATTCTGAATTCACCCTGACATTATTATCAAATTGGACAATACACAAATATACTTGAATTATAAAAATGTCTCACAAAAGAGGTTGTGAAGAGACATTACTCATTAGTGTATTTTTTTTTTTTTTTTTTCTTTTTCCCTCTTGAATTATATAATGACTGTTATATAGGAGCATTTATAAATGAAGTAACCTTGTGTCGCGGTAAGGATTACAAGTAAAATTGAATTTCAAATTTTTTATTTTTTAGACTAATATATAGTAATACTGTAAGTGTTTTGAAAAGAAGGGAAAAAAAAAAAAAAAATATATATATATATATATACACACACACACATGTTTTTGGGATATAAATAAAAATGTTGAAAATTCTTGGGGAGGCATGGCGCACTAGTTCAGCCCCGGAATTCACGCCAATGAACGATTTGGACTTTAGTCAAGTCAAGAGTATAAAATAATAATAATAATAATAATAATATTATTTAACAAACTCTAAATGATACTAATTATAAAAAAATAAAAAATAAAAAAATTCGACATGACCTCTACTAAAAATGATTGTACAACAACCTGTTTAAATGCATAAAAAGCAATGGTCTCTCTTAGACCTTCAAAACTTATCTAACATGTCCCAATACACAATGCAAATACTACATTTCAACATTCCTTTCAACATAGTTCATCTTATGGTGGAACAACCATATACCATTTAATCCAAATATCATAATTACAGTCCCAAAAATATGGTTAAGATCAAAAGTTCATATCTTACAACGTTTAGACAACTTATATTAAAGTTACAGCCCATGAATATAATTACAATAACAAAAGCCCATAACTCTCAGTACACAATACAATATGCTAAGTTTTACAAAAAAAATAGTGAGACTTAGATACAAAAATAACAAAATGATCTTCTAATCCATACTAGGCCTGTGGTGGAACGTCATCCGCCACTTCTTTTCCGTGACCTGAAAATGTTAAATATAAGGGGTGAGCAAATTGCTCAGTAGGTGGTGCCTAAGACGCATCTTTTGTGACCCCGTAAATCCAAATAATGAATAAAAATATAGGGAACGTGATCATACTATGCCGGGAGAAAATATAACAATTACAAGACCAAAATGGACAATCTGATGCTATAGAATGATATGCCGTGCTATATCGCTCCCCGTTTCCAAAATCACTTCCATTCTCCATTTTTCAAATCGTTAATATAACCCGTCCCAAGGTGACTCCCTAGCGACACGAGAGAAGGATTGGCTA